CCCACTTCATTCTTCTTTTCAAAGTTGTTTTAGTGAGTGAATTCTTTTTCCTTTCTATAATATTTTAGGATAGTTGTGTTGGTATCTCCAAAGAAATCTTGTAGGAATTTGGTAGGAATTGGATTAAACCTGCACCTCACAGGTGAGCACATTGTCCTGACTTTGCTGTATGGGCTCCAAAAAGGCCAGTTGGTATCACTTTATGCAGCAAGGCCCTGTACAGCACCTCTCTCTGACATTGCCAGTCTGACAGCAGATTCTGGCATTCTGTCCTATTTTGTAACACAGATACTGAACAGTTGCCCCACCTTTCTGAATTGCTTTTCTCTTCGACCTTGCTCATTTTTTTATTGAGGCAAATTGGTTTATGATATTGTATATGATTCAGCGGTATGGGATAACACCTCTTCAGATGTATGTCACCACACTACATCCACCACCAAGACACCCATAGGCCTCCATTGGGCCACCTGTCCCTTTTGCTTTCTGTTTTCCTCCTACCCCATCCGATAGCCTCAATTTTTGCCCATTTTTAATCAGGATGTCTGTCCATTTTACCTGTGACTTACGAAGACCCTTTATCATGTCCTGGTCCTTCTCTCCACAATGTTTACCTTAGCTCTGGTTTAGAAAGCTCAGACTGGGAATTGGAGGGAGCTGGCAGTTCAGGGAGGTTAGGGATACATGTGTTTTCCTGATACTTTTCAAGCACCATCTTCCTCACTTGTCCAATATGGGCAGCCTTCAGGAGGGCTGTGGAGTTAGCTGAGGGGGAACTAACTTGAATAAATATATCTCTGGGCTGTGTTTTTGTATCAGTGTCTGGTTTTCCAAGAAGGAAATCAGACCCGGATGTCTTCTTGTGCAAAGTGCCTAACTTCCTCTAAAACTTGGCAATAGCTCTGAAAAATGCAGCCTTCCTGGGGTCTGGGTTTTCTTGAGAAAGCAGGCTGCACTGGTTTTCAGGTCTTTTTATATGTTCAAGTCCATATAAACAGGGTGAATAAAACATCCTGTTGTGTAATCATGTGTGCACTTTTTCCCAGGCAAGCCTGCACACGGGGCTGTGCTCTGTCCAGCCTGGGCTTTTTCTGCAAGGTGTGAAGTAAGGGACATACTGCCTGGGTGCCCTTCTGGCTCTGCCTTTCAGGTTATGTGACCCTGGACAAGGTGACCTCACCATCGTCTCAATAGTAGTACCTGACCTGTAGCATTGTTGGGAGGATTAAAGTAGGCACTAGATAGAAAACAGTGAACATTCAACAGTGTGACCCACTACTTACCAGGGTAAGGAATTGCAGATACTTTTTTTTCCAAAAGTTTTAAACAAAAAAAAAATTTGCTTTAAAAATGTCCATTTGGAACTCATAAACCCAGTGATAATTGCTCTGTTTTGCATGAGAGTGTGTTCTTTCCTGGCAGATCGGGGATTTTGTTTCAGGCATAAAGATATAGTAACAGTCCTGCCCATGGGCAGAAGTAGGGGTCAGACCTGGTGGGCTTAATCTTGGGAGGATTAGGAGTGACTGGAACCCTGATCCTTAGAGCGACATCCTTCCAAAGTGGTTCTGTATTCTCATTTCGAGCTTGTTTTATCCTGGTGTTAAAATCACATGTGTTTGCAGGACTGTGGGGTTGTCTAGTCCTCCTGAAAGAAGGAAAGGACCATATTTTCAGTGTCCTCCCCTCCCTGTCATACCCATTGGTAAATTGCATCTGAGCTGAAGGGGGAACCAAGAGACCACAGGAACTTCTTGCTTATCTCTTTTAGTGTTTTTTTTTTTTTTTAATAGAGGCATGTTTTATTTATTTACTTGTTTGTTTGTTTTGTTTATACATGCACTGAGTACAGTCAGAAGCACGGGAGGGTGAGAGAATTCACCAGAGCCAGAGTGGGGAGCAGAGCAGGCAGAAGGACCGAGGTACTGCTGAGGGGAGCAGCGGGCGGCAGGAGAGGTCTGCGCGCCATGTGGGACCCTCCTCCGGTGGCCGGGGAGCAGCCGGGGATCGAACTGGCGCCGCAGAGGCCGCGGGCAGCTTCGCAACCCAGCACTCAAACGCTGTGCCACCGGGGAGGCCCTCTTTAGTGTTTTAAGTCTTGATGAAAGTTACAGCGAAGCTTATCAATAATTCAGATACAACTGAGTAGAAGCTGTTGTCTGCACTGTGGATGCAGGAGAATATCAGCCCAGGTGGCTCCATCTTGCTCCTGTTCTTGAAACCATCTCCAGACTGCCTGCAACCTCTTATACTAAAAGCCTGTTCCCTGGCCCACCCACTTTCTGCCTATACCCAGGCATGGCCCTTCTCTCACTTTGGGGTCAGACAGTGGGCAGCTGCCAGCTCTCAGCACACAGCTATCTACCTAGTGGTTGTGACCATGTGCTGGGTGTGGCCGTGGTCTGTGCAGTAGCTAACCATGGACTGACTGCCCATGATTGGAGAATTGGTGGCATGGGTGGCCTGTCCAGCAGCTTGCAGATGCGACTGCACCATCTAGGCAGAAGTAATGTAGTTAGGGAAGTGCCAGTTGCATCTGGTGTTTTCCCTCTCTGTTTCTGCAGTCCCTAAAGTGTGTGTGATTACATGGACCTCTATCTCTACCTGCTGTTGTCCCATCTTTTTTTTTTTTTAAAGGTAATTTCTAGTTTTTTTTTTTTTTTAAGATTTATTTATTTATGCATACAAGAACTGGGGTACAGGCCAGAGGTGTGTGTGTGGGGGGGGGGTGAGAGGCTTCAACAGAGACACAGTGGAGAACAGAATAGACAGATATACTGAAATACACTGCTGAGGGCAGCAGCGAGTGAGACAGGAGAGGTCTGCTGCGCCATGTAGGTAGCTCCCTGGCTGAGGATTGAACTTGTGCTGCAGTGGCTGCCAATAGCTTCATAGGTTGTATCTGAACCCCTTGCACTACCAGGGAGGCTGTGTTGTCCCATCTTAACCTAAACCAATAGCAGGGCTAGAGGGAATGGTTGAAGGAATGCTCTGTGAATTTCTTCAGTTGTTGATCATTTGGGATCCACCTGACTGTGGATACACCCTCAACACAGACACGCATAGGCTCTGCTGCTTCATAGGCTTCTTAGGACTCTTTGGGGACTCTTAGTTGTGGATATTGTAGCTTAGAAGCATTTGGGAAGTTTGAGACACTTGTGAACCTTGTATGCCCCAAATCCTGTAACTTTTTTTCCCTAGTTGCTTGAAAACTTCTGTCTAATATGAGCCTTAACAAATATTCCACTGGAAATGTATTCAGACCTCTACCACTCTGATTTTTGGTGGGACAGGGGCCTTTGTTGCATGAACTGGTGGCCTCTGCATTTCAGTCCCACAAGCCAGTCAGTGCTGTGAGGTTTGGATCTGGTCACTGTTACTTTTACTGACAGATGACAGGTAGCCTTTTTAACCGCAAGGAGGATAGCTTTGCTTCCTTTGTCCACCTCACTCATATTGGGAGATGTGTTTTTAAAACATTGAGAGTTTTAAACTTAAGAGGTCACAACAGGTATGAGGGAGAACACTGCTGTCCAAGGTCATAAGAACTAAGGGTGACAGCCTCCCCAGCACTGGTGTCAGCAGGCCCTGGTAAGAGCTGTTGCAGCTACATTTTCACCTCTCGTTCTTCTCCCTCGTGTTATCACTCCCAAATCTCTAGCCTTTCTTGATTTTCATTTTTTTTATGTTTTTTTCTATCTTTTTAGTATTCCCCACTCCCTTTTTTTGTTTTGACTTTACTTTTCCCTTTCAGATCTTTATGTTCTTGTTCTGTTTTCATTCTGTCTTGGTGGTGGTCTTGGTACTTTCACTTCTTTAGACATTTGCAGGTGTGGGCATCCCCCAGAGAAGCTGACTGTAATCTTTGTGTTATTTTTAACCTGAAATAACTCTTTATAACATAGTGATATGCAAGTGTTAGGCTGGTTCAAATACAGTGATCAGAACTGGAAGATACTCCCTCCCCCAGTTTTATTCATTATGAGAAATCACAGGAAAATATTTAAATAAGTACTGTGCATACCTCTCATGTGGTATTCATTTCCCCTGCTTTTGTCTTTAGCCATTCACGGACCTGTTCCTCTAAACAATTAAGAGTAATGTAATTTCTCACTTGGCCTTGGTCACTAATGAGCAGCAGGTTTTCCAACCTCCATGCACTATGACAGCAACATGTGTAAGCCTTTACAGCCAGCAAGTATAGCGGGCACCAGCCCACCTGGGGACAGTCACTGAGGTCAGGAAGAAGCCCTGGACATAGTGAGAAGTGTGGGCCTGGCTGCCACCCAATCTAGATTCAGGAGTGACTTTGTGTGGCTTCCATCAGCCACATGAGCCACTCACCTCCTTCCTTGAGGTGGTCACATCCTCTGAACAGCTGCATCCTGAGGATCTGATGACTGGCACGTTGAGTGTCTGTGTCAAGCTGAGGATTTTGAACTTCCTGCCTGCAACTGTGGGAGTGTTCACTGCCCGCTCCTCTTCTGGGCAGGGCCTGTCAGTGCATATTCACTTGCAGTCCTTGGTGGCTGTTGGAGGATGTAATGGGTGTGGAAAGACCTGGGGCAGGGAGAGCAGTTTGAAACTTGCGTGTCTGGTGACTCATGATGACGTGCAGGGGCAATGTTCTGATTTTGGAGTCAGAGCACTGTCTGGGAGGACAGGTGTCTTTTTCTCTTTTCCTCTTAGCTCTGTACAAATTAGAATCCCATGGCTCAGAGTGGGATCGCCTCTGGGTGAGTGGGATCACCTCTGTTCTTCCACTTGAGGCAGCTACACTGTTGGTGCAGGATTTGGGACTTATTAAATAGCATCAGCATTCCCTTTTCCTAAGTGGAGTATGTGTGATACCAGGATCTGGAAATAACCTGAAGTCTGTGTGCTGAGGACATGGATTGCACCGTGACCTCCATTATTGGTTACTTTGGTGACTACAATGATAAGGGAATGACACTTCTTTTTAGAGGGGTTCTGACTACTATCTGTGGTTTTGTTTACAGATTCCCACTGGAAATCCATTATATGAATCTTATTATAAGCAGGTAAGTTTCACTGGGTCCTTTTGGACTGACCAGGAAAGCTGGGTCTGAAATTGAAGCCCACAGTGGCCTCTAGTCCCTTCCTATTCTCTGCGTTATTGGCCTGCAGTCTGCGTGATGGCTGCTGCTTCATCTGCTGCTCTGTTGGCTGAAGGTTTCATCCCGTAATTCCAGGTAGATCCAGCATACACAGGCCGAGTTGGGGCTAGTGAAGCTGCGCTTTTTCTGAAGAAGTCTGGACTCTCAGACATTATTCTTGGGAAGGTATGTGAAGACCAGCAGGATGATCTCTTTTGTGGTGCCTTTGGGGCTCCCTTGCACGTGAATTCCAGCTGTGCAGACCCCTCTCTTTGGGGCCAACCCTCTTGTGGCATGGGTTGGCCACCTGGGACCTCCGGGCTGGTGGATTCACATGATCTGATGGCAGCCACCACCTGCTGCTTAGGTAGCAGACACAAGGCCTGTGTGCTTTTGGAGTCTTGACTGATTATGGATTTGTGTTGGGGATCCAGGGTATAATCAATCCTGTTAGCTTTGGAATGTCTTCGTGTTCTTGGGCTCTGCCACTGACTGGCTGTATTCCTGCAGGGAGCAGGTTGCTTCCCCATAGCCTGTGTGCTTGTTTTGGGAATAAATGGGCAGCGACTGGCAGTCATACTTACCAGCATTTTTGTGTTTCTGCAGATATGGGACTTGGCTGACCCAGAAGGTAAAGGGTTCTTGGACAAACAGGTATATATATACACATGTGTACAGAGGAGTAGAGAGGCTGAGCCGGTCACTCTGCATTCCTTTCTGGTTATCTGCATTGACAAGTGCCACTAGTCATAAGTGTGGTTGTTACTGTTAAAATGGAAAAGTTTATTTGAAATAAAGGTCTTTTGAACACTTTGGAGACATCTTTCATGGTTAGCATATCTTTTAATATTTTGTGTGCTTATATGTGATTAAAATGTTTTCAAAATATTGTATTTTGAAATAACTTGACTCGTGGAAGTTGCAAGATTGTTCAGAGTTCCAGGTAGCCTTCCTCTGTTGTCCCTGGAGCATGGCACCTGGAGCTGGTGTAGCACAAAATCAGAGACCCTTTGAAGCACTGACTTGTCTCACATGTGCTTTCTTGTCCTCAAATAAGGCCATTTTCAATGTTGTAGCAGTAATGAGAATAAAACAAAAAAACTATTCTAGACAATGTTGAATAAAAAGACCTTACTTAAAGACCGGTTTTATTATATGTTGTTTTGCTTTAACTTGGCAGTTTCCAACAACCTTTGATGACATTGAGGACTTACTGTAGAGTTCTATGTAGTTTTGTCACTTACATAAGTTTATGTTACATATGTAACACGGCCAGGACACAGAACTCTCCAGTAACCCAAAGACTCTCCCCTGTGCTGACCCTGGTCGTCACTCTTATTTTCTGTTTCATTCTGCATCATAATTTTGTCATTTTGAGAATGTTCTATAAATGGAAAGTTACATACTTACAAATGATTTTAAGTGACCATATGTTTAATTTAGTTCAGCTTTCCTCAAACTGTATTTTCAGGATGTTGTGCCCAGAGTCCCAGGTCTGTGATCTGACCTGTTTGGGAAAGGCACCAGCCCTTATTCCCTTCATGAGTGTCATTTTGCACATCTGCCTGTGACAGGTCCCCAGGGTCCATATGGAAGAGAAACCAGTTAATTTTGCTGATGTAGCTGCTCTGAACTTCCTTAGTTCCCCTTTTTTACCATTCTGTGTGGACATAGTCTGAGATAAGATGGTGGTGTTTATCTCTTTGTAGAAGTTATAAAACTGAACTCTGTGTATAGCTTTAAAACCCTCCATAGTCTCAGGCCATTTGATCAATTAAAAAAAATTAGGTGATATTGCAAGTCTACTCACCTTTGGTGTGGCAAATTCTGGGTTAAGAGGAGGCTAAGTTCATATCTTCTGTTCTTGTGTGAGAGTTGAATCCATAGCAGGTCCAGGGTTGGGATGGGCATGGAGGGGTGCTCTGTTCAGTGAGACCAGGGGGATCACAGTGCATCAAGAATGTTAATTCCCAAACAACTGTCTGTTTCAAATTATTTTTGAAAGGTGATCACGTATTTGATCCATCATTTATAGTCTTAAACACATGAAGTCTGCTACTTACACAATTTAGTGTTTCCTAAGTGTCAAGAGCTCATTCTTCTTGAAAATACATTGATTTGTAATTTTATGGCATTTAGGATGTGATGGGCAGAGTCCAGTTTAGCACATTCATTTACGCAGTGCTTCTGGTAAAGCCCTTTCAGCTCCACCCACAGATGACTTTTGTACAGTCTTTATTGTGAAGTGAGTGAGAGTACTCTTTTCCTGCAACCCAATCCTGCTAAGTGGTATTCACGTCACCCCTGTTTTGGGTTTGCAGGGTTTCTATGTTGCACTGAGACTAGTGGCCTGTGCACAGAGTGGCCATGAAGTTACCTTGAGCAATCTGAATTTGAATATGCCGCCGCCTAAATTCGTAAGTGTCTAAACCCTTCAAGTTCACATTCTTCCAACACCATATGTCTCTCCATGTTTTCTCTCTCATTTAAAAAAAAAAAAAATGAGGTGAAATTTACATAACCCAAGAATAATTATTTTCAAGTGAACAATTTTGTGGCATGAGGCCCATTCACAATGTTGTGCAGTCATCACCTCTGCTAGTTCCAGAACATTTCCATCACCCCTAAAAGAAAACCCTGTTTCTGTTAAGTAATCACTCTCTTTTCCCTTTCCCAGGGCCTGGCAGTCACTCATCTGCCTCTGTCTCTTACTGATTTGCCTGTTCTAGATATTTGGTGGAATCATAAATTGCGGCCTTTTGTGTCTGTCTGGCTTCTCTCAGCATAATGTTTTCAAGGTTCATCCATGTCTCATCTGTCAGAGTTTCATCCCTTTTCATTGCTGGCTAAGATTGTTTTGTGTGAATGCCCCTATTTTGTTTAGCTAGCATTTGTACCCCATTTTCTGTTCTCTTGGTTCTCTACATAGGAGTGGAATTGTGGACTCCTATGGTAATTCTTCATAATTTTTGAGGTTTTTCTGTTTTGAAATATGTATCCTTTCAATGAACATGTACTCCTGTAGTTTCTCTATGTCAACCACAACCACAACGGAATATTGCTTTTTCTTCCCAGCACGACACTAGCAGCCCTTTGATGGTCACACCGCCATCTGCAGAGTCCCATTGGGCTGTGAGGGTAAGTGAGTGGGGCTGTTCTTCACATGCCAGGGCCGTAGCCACTTATGAACTCATTTAAAACATTTCACAGTGTGACTGTGTCATCAATTCTGTTTCAGAGTGTGTGTGCCATGGAATTTGTATGAAATACTTTCTTTTTTTTTTTTTTTAAAGATTTATTTATTTATGCATACAAGAGCTGGGGTACAGGCCAGAGATACAGGGAGTGAGAGGATTCACCACAGACAGACTGGGGAGCAGAATAGGCAGATCAACTGAAATACACTGCTGAGGGCAGCAGCGGGCGAGACAGGAGAGGTCTGCTGTGCCATGTGGGTCACCTCCCTGGCCAGGGTTCAAACTCATGCTGCAGTGCTGCAGACTTCTTCATTGTGCTTCATCTTAACCCTTTATGCCACCAGGGAGGCCCCTGAAATACTTTTTCAAACTAAAGCCGTTCAAAAAGGCTATGGTCTTGTGTTAGAATGAATGGATGCTATCTAATAAGGCAGCTAGATAAGTTTCAAGAGCTGACTCTTAAAAATTTTTTACAGTTTAAATCTTATGCTAAATCTTTTTGCTGACTTGGTTGGTTCATCAGGAGAGGAGAAATTGTGAGAACTTCTCAACATTGTTCTTTGCTTTCTGATGCTCTGTTGCTTTCTGAAAAGCTGCTGTCAGCACTTAAAGTATTGTTTTTAAGACAGAAGCTGTTGTAGTTACTAAGCCATGTTACTGCTTCTAGGAAAAAATATAAGAGGTGCAGAGTTACTCCCAAAGAAGATGTGTGGCACTCAGAACTGGTCTCCAAAGTAACCTCTCACTCCTGGATCATAAGAGGACTGTCACTTCTGCTCACTTTTATTTGACTTAAATGCCCAACATTAGTAACAGTCTTCAACCATCCCTGCCTTCTGCTCCCCCCACCAAGAAGTGGTCTGTCCTATTGTTTACACAGCCAAGCTGTTCCTTCCTGGAAAGGTTTTCAGGGGGAGGTCTGGACAGGATGTGCAGGATAAGGCTTATATGATGAGGAGTCTTGGAGTCACCTCTGCAGCAGTCTAGCATTTTGTAGGCTGTGATCACAGTACCAAAGGACTTTTTTCTCTGTTGTTGCCCCATCACATAATGCCTACCAGGAAAAAGAACTTTGTCATGAAAAATGACTTCAAGGATATCCTATTCCTTGAACATTTGGGCCCTTTGTGGTAGTGCAGTGCTGAGGCCTCATGAGGATAGCACTTGCGGAGGACCCTACAAAGAAGGGTTGTGGAGAGGAGACGGGGACAGTGCTATGATGGGGTGGGCCATTTTCAAGAGAGATTTAGCGTTCTGTGAAAAACCATTCTGAAATGCCATGTTCTTTTTCCTTTGAAGTCTCCTGGCTTCTTATACTTAGAGAGGCTGAGGGGCTGGGTGGATCCTAGACACTATGTGGGCCCAGACTTCTCACCATGTGTAGCTCTGCATGTGTGCAGGGACTGTTTGTGTACTCCTTTTGGTTTTTAATTATGGTAAAGTCAATAGAACATCATATTTATCACCTCATCCATTTTTTTTAAAGATTCATTTATTTATACAAGAACTGGGACACAGGCCAGATGTGTGGGAGGGTGAGCGGATTCACCCGAGACAGAGCGGGAAACAGAACAGGCAGACTCTCCAAAATACACTGCTGAGGTGAGACAGGAGAGGTCTGCTGCACCATGTGGGTTGCTCTGCAGCTGGCGGGGATCGAACCAGCACTGCAGAAGCTGTGGACAGCTTCACAGCGCTGCGCTCAACTGCCTGCGCCACTGGGGAAGCCCCATTTTAAGTGTATAGTTCAGTGGCATTAAGTTCATTTATGGTGTTGTGTGATCACCACCCATCTTCAGAACTTTCTCATTTCTCAAATTGAAACACTGTCTCTATTAAACACTCCCCTCCCTTCCCCCAGCCCCTGACCCCCCACCATCCTACTTTCTGTCTCTAGGCGTTGACTCCTCCAGGGACTTCATGTAAGTGGAATTAGATAGAGTATCTGTCCTTTTGTGTCTGACTTTTTTCACTGAGCATAATGTCCTCATGGTTCATCTATGTTGTAGCATGTGTCAGAATTTCCTTCCTTTCTAAGGTTAAATAATACTGTGTGGATGGACCACATTTTGCTTATCAAGTCATGGACAAGTGTTAATTAATAGTGTTTACATTGGCTCCCAGGTGACTGCAGCTTGTGGTCAAAGTGGGAGGTACAACTCTCACTGACCCCAGCCCCGCTGCTCCAAGAGGGAGACTGGAGACCCCAGGCCCTCCTCTCCTGTAGCTCCTTGGACATACCATCTCCTTTTCATATTCATAGTCCACTGAGCAGTAGCCGCTGTCTGCATTGTAAATTTTGTGGAGACCATCACTGTTCATGAAGAGCTTTCAGTATTTACTTCTTCATGGGTAGACATAGATGACTTCCTGTGCTTAGAATCAATTTTGATAATTAGTTGCTTAAGTTTTTGGTTCGTTTTTATATTTGTTTCTTTAGTTCTTTGAGTTATGTAGATTGATATTTAGTTTTAGTGCTTTGTCCTAAAGAATTAAAATCACTTCTCTTGTCTTTCTTAGTGAAATCTTGGGAGATAAATAGGAATGATCTTGTCTCCCAGACAACCCTGGGGTGGAGAGCGAGGCTTGGGTGAGGGTCCCTCTCTTCCCTGCTGGCCCTGGTCACCAGGTCAGTAGTTGTTGGAGCTATTTTACTCTGACAGCCCCCAGGGGCTGAAGTTCCTGTGAGATTGTTCTATTCTTTAGAGGTCTTTTTTTTTTTTTTAATATATATTTTTTTATTTTTAAAGATTTTATTTATTTATTTTATTTATTTATCCAAGCACTGGGCACAGTCAGAAGTGCGGGAGGGTGAGAGAATTCACCAGAGCCAGAGCGGGGAGCAGAGCAGGCAGAAGGACCGAAGCACACTGCTGAGGGGAGCAGCGGGCGGCAGGAGAGGTCTGCGTGCCATGTGGGACCCTCCTCCGGTGGCCGGGGAACAGCCGGGGATCAAACCAGCGCTGCAGAAGCTGCGGGCAGCTTCACAACCCAGCGTTCAACCGCTGTGCCACTGGGGAGGCCCTCTTTAGAGGTCTTGTTGCCCGTTTCCATTCAACTTCAAGTCAGAGCTCATTTGGACTCTCACACAGGAATACTTTGACTCACTGAGTGATTTCTCTCCCACTAGGTGGAAGAAAAGGCCAAATTTGATGGAATCTTTGAAAGTCTCCTTCCCATAAATGGTTTGCTTTCTGGAGACAAAGTCAAGCCAGTCCTCATGAACTCCAAGCTGCCTCTTGACGTCCTGGGCAGGGTAAGTGGGCCAAAGGTTTTATTCCTGCATGTTCTGCATGGTCTGTGTTTAGAAAAGGTTTCATGTGTGTGTGTGTGTTTTTTAAAAACCTGTTTATTCCAATTAATTGCAAATTTTTTGGATCGAACTTTCTACTGAGGTTTATGTTACAAGCTGGCGTGTTTATGCAAAAGTTTCATACCTCTTGGCTCTCTCTGTGCTGAGTTCCGGATCTGGGACTCAGAGGGGAAGGTTTTCTTTCTGGACACAGCAGGTGCAGGCTCAGGCCCAGAGCAGGTGGACCCAGCTGCCTCTGGGTTTAGCTCGTGACCTTTGGTGGAATCTTCAGGATGCAGTAAAGTATACTGCCACTCTGGTTCACCTGATTTGTTCCTGCTTGAATAAACTTGCAGACACTCACCCATTTCCTTTATCTAGGTAGAGCCCATCTTGATGTTTTGTTTTGAAACAAGGCCACTAAGAAAGAAGAGCTCTCAAATCCCTTTGTCCTCCTCTTGGCCTTGCTATAACTGATTACCAGAAGTGTTAGCGGACATGAGTGTTAAATTGCAGCAGGGTAGGGTGGCATAGTTGTGTGTCGTTGTTTGGCAGTCCTTTCAATAGCTGACAGTTGGATATATTAATGTTGTAGAGCTAAATTGGGAACAAAACAGAGCGTGGGCTTTCCTGGAAGGGGCTGTGGCTATGAAGGGCATAACACAGGGGTCGTCTCTCCCTCTCCTCACTTCCTCTTTGTGCTCACCACCCCCCATGCATCTGTGCACGAATACATCCATATCTGTGTGCATGTCCATTTGTGCTGTGTGCACGCATGCGCTCAGGTGCCCATGCACCCTTGCACATACTCATTCATCCTGTATTCATTGTCTGTAAACTCATGCACCCATGCATTCTCACTCTTTCGTCTATGTATCCATCACCCATGCATCCACATCCTTATGCAGCCATGTACACATGTATTTGCCCATGCATTTGTGTACTCATCACTTGGGTCATTTAGCAAGCTTTTTTTTTTTTTTTTAATATTTTTCTCAAGAGCTTTTCTAAAAACAATTCATTCATTTTTTTTTTTTTTTATTGCCTCCACCAAACCATACCCCGTCTACCTCTGTGCTCCATCCCTTCCATACTTTGCCCTATTCCTTCTGGTAACCATTTTTTGCCAAGTTCAAATTTTTAGTTTTTTATTATTTTTAAAAAGATTTATTTATTTATGCATACAAGATTTATTTATTATGCATATTTATTTATGCATACATATTTATGTATATTTATTTATGCTTTTATTTATTTATGCATACAAAGATTTATTTATGCATTTATTTATGGGGTGCAGAGCAGAGGTGTGGGAGGGTGAGAGGATTCACCAGAGACAGAGTGGGGAGCAGAACAGGCAGATGTACTGAAAACTCTGCTGAGGGGAGCAGCAGGTGAGACACGAGAGGTCTACTGCGCCATGTTGGTATTTCCCTGACCAGCCGGGGATCGAACCTGCGCTGCAAAGGTTGCGGACAACTGTACAGCGCTCCGCTCAACCCCCTGCGCCACCAGGAGGCCCTTCGATTTTTATTTCTTATATTAATTGCTTTTTGGATGTTTATATTCTGCATGTGAATGAAATCATCTGAAATCTGTCTTTTACTTTTTGGATGATGTTACTCAAAATTGTCACCTCAATTTTGTGCCAAAACAGCAAGCATTTTTTTGAGCCTGCTCCAAGCCAGACCTTGTACTGAACACTGGTAGGGTGGGCGGCAGGGGGGGAGGAGAGGAATTAGATCATTTCAGGAGATCAAATAAATAAATAATGGTTACTATCCTAGTATTTATTTGTTGAGGCCTCCATGTGTGCTAGGCCCTGCCCTTGCACTTTGCATGAATAAAATTATTGAATACTTGTGACTATTCTGTGAAAATGGTGTCACTCATTTTCCAGATGATGAAGCAGGGCCTTCAGAATGACTTATAAATTGCCCAGGGTCACACCAAAGGTATTTCTCCCAATAGTCATGATTCTACTTGGAGAGGACAGTGAGAGGGTAGGGTGCCTGGAAGGTGGTTGACCTCATAAAGTAGATGCCCTCGGTCATATCCCCCAGAGTGAGGAGATGCGTGGCAGAGAAGTGTTGAGAAGGTGGGCATATGATAGTGTGAGCAGAGGCAGCCTGGCATGCTGGGTAGGGCCAGCGTTCTCACTGGCAATTCTTACCCCAAAGGACATTAACAATGTCTGGAGTCAGTTTTAGTTTTCACATCTGGCTTGGGTGCTGCTGCCATCAGGAAGATGGAAGCAAAGGATGCTACTCAGCACCCTGTAGTGCTCAGGATTCCCCACAGAAAGGGACGCTTCTGAGCCTCTGCTTCCTGACTTGAGATGACAGGCATAGAGACTTAGCCCTGTGCCTAATACCTTTAAAAAGATATCTGTACACTTAACAGAACTGGAACACATTGGGGTCCCTATCAGGAGGCTGGAATAGAGGGGTCCCCTAAGTGTATGTGGTGAGTGATAGGGTGAAGCTCCCTGTGCCAGACTGGGGCCAGGGTCTGGACCCTCTCAGCACGAGTCACTGCATTCTGGAGCAGGTTCCGTGTAACTGTCCGGGCATGGCCAGAGGCAGGCTGAAGTTGCTTGTGACTGATTGGTACTGGCATGTGCAGCCTCACAGATGGACCCCAGGGGTTCACTTAGCTCCAATCAGTGGTGTCATGCCCAGAATTGGTGCTGGTCCAGGAGGGCTGGTTTGGGCCAGGGTTATCTTTAGAAAATAATGCCTGCAACCTCTGTCCTGTCAAGGAATCCATATGTCCTGCCTCATCTTTAGGGTACAGGTTTGCCTAGCACCTGCCTCCTCATCCATGATAGGGGAGAGGAGACCCCAGTGTGTGCTTACCACCCTGCCAGTGCACATAGGGGTGGAACTGTGTGTGTGTGTGTGTGTGTGTGTTGAGTGTTGTGTGTTGTGTTTAGAGCAGCATCTGCAGCAAAACTAAGCCATCTTTTCCATTTAAGCGATCTTTGTACAATATTAAAGAAGAAATCAGGGTGGATATGATTATAATCACCATCATTTTGTTAGAGAAAATGAACGTAACACGGTGGGAAGGATCTTGAAATTACAATACTTCTTTGATGGTTTCCAAAAAGCCCGCAGATGTTTTAAAATATGTTTTAATTGTTGTCTTAAGCAATTGTTGTCTTAACGCAGTGTATACCCAGCACTCAGAATCTTGAGTTCTTACTACACAGGGTCCTTCTTCCCTCAGTATACTTTGGTTCCCCTGATCTACTCTTCTGTCAGCCTTGGTGCCTCCATAAACCTTGGTCTCCCCAGTAAGCCTGGCTCTTTCCTTGCAGGTCTGGGACCTGAGTGACATCGACAAGGATGGACACCTGGACAGAGATGAGTTTGCTGTGGTACGGCCTGCATCACTTTTTCCACTCTGCTGAGGGAAATGGGCAGCTCGTGGGAATTCTGGACTCAGTTTTTCTTTCTTTTTAAGAGACTTTTTAAAAGTTTATTTTGACGTAATTTGAATTTAAGTAAAATTGCAGTAGTAATAGAAAATTCTTTTGAATGATCTTACTCAGAAAAGTGTTAGGATTTTGCCACATTGCTTTGTTCTTCTCCCTTCCTCTCCTTCTTCTTCTCCTCCTGTTGTCCCTCTCTTTCCATGTGTGTGTGTATATGTGTGCACATGTGTGAATTTTTCCTTTGTTTACTTTGAAGTCTTTTTCCCAAATAGTTCCATGTGTATATCCTAAAACCAGGGAATCTCTAACATAAACACTGTACAAATCAAAATCAGGAAGTTAACATTGATATCATCTAGTTTATTGTCTGTTATCATAGGTTATTTCTTATCTATCACTATATCTATTATATCATCTTATTACCTAACCTAAGGATATTTTCAAATTTTTGCCATTGTCTCTAAAGCATGCTCTGTAGGAGGGAGACTCCAGTCATGAGTCTGAGGTTCTGTGGCTCTGTCTGCCGTGTCGTCTAATCTGGAGCAGCTTTAGGTTTGGTTTCATGGCCATGTGGGTATTTTGAGGAGCACAATCTAGTGATGTATAGAGTACCTTCTGTGTGGGGTCATCTGCTGTTCCTTGTGAGGATCCAGGTTGTTCATGTTCCTGGGGCAAGACCCCCAAGTCTCTCTGGGGTGTGTGACATTGACAGAACATGTGATGTCTCATTCCATGTCTCATTCCATGGTAACATGGTGTCACCCTCAGTTTCTTTCAGGGTGGAAACTTGGTTCTTCCTGGTGGTTACCCTTCTCCCCTGTATGTTCATCAATCTCTGTGTTCAACTCCTTTACCCTTCTCACTACCCCATTGATTCTCATATCCTCCCTAGGGCCCTTGAATCAACCAAGATTCTGACAATTGTGGATGGCTACTGTCTTATTCTGTCCTTTCTGCCTGCTTTTTTAGTTGGCCTGTGACCAGAGGGGATTTTTTTGGTATCCATGTGGACTCAAGAATGTGGCTTTTGTTTCTTGCTTTAATAATTTTTACTGTAGCAATTTATTTTGCCTGGTAGGAGCTCTCCCAGCTGCCCCTTTGTCCATCATTTTCTGAGCACTTCCTCCTGGCTCTTCTGACTCTCCTGGCTATTTCTTTTTTTAGGGTGCCCCAGTCTTATAGGGGGGAAATGAGATTACAAACCAGGATCTGGGCACTAGGGTGCTCAGTGCTCCTGGGTGCCATGGCCTCCAGGCCCTTCCCTCAAAATTAAGAGGTATGTTTGTACAAATGTTCCCAGGGAGTGTGCACACTGCCCTCTGCCCCCACATCTGAGTGTCCATGCTGAGCCTGGCATACCCACCACTTCTCTTCTTAGGGCTGCCTTCGAGCTGTGTATAGATGAGGTCTCCTCCATGCTGGGAACTGCATGTCCCCATGACTGCCCTCTTTGCATACCCCTGCAGCAACTCCCTATCACCTCTCCATTCCTCCCCCCGGCCAGGGAAGTCATTTTGTTCCTCCTGATCCTGTCACCTCCTCACTTGCATCTCTGACCTTCCTATTTACTGTTCTCTCACCCCATTCTATTCCATCTCCAAGAAGTAGAATAAAGTAGCCCCTCGTAGTTAAGGACAAAGCTTTAATAAATGTTAATTACATTTAATCAAACTAATAAAAAAGCAATGATATTAATTATCTAGGTATTCCTAGTAATTAAAAAATGATGACATACAACAGTCTTCCTAAAATATATCTTCTGTTCCAGGAATTTTAGAAATGTTTAAAATGTGATTTTACATTGTACATGTATGAAGCTGTAATGTATGTAAAGCCTTTAAGAGTTTAAACGTCTAGGTTAAATTTTTAAATCATTTTTCTAAGGAAGTGGTAAATTTTTCTTATAATTCTCCTCAATCCCTCATACCCAGCAGTACTCAGTCATATGTTTTTTCCTTACACATAGACTTTGTTCTTCGGCCTTCTCAACTCTGAGCATTTTCCATGTTTCTCAGTCATTCTGTTGTTTTCACTGATTATTCATAAATTATGTGATAAAATATTTATTACATACATTTTATCATCTTAATCTTTTGTAAGTATAACTCAATGGTATTAAAGCACATTTCACATCTCCAGCTTCCTTCTCCAGAACTTTCATCTTCCTAAGCTGGAACTCTGTTTCCATTAAACCATAGCACCCCACTCTCCTACTTCTCACTTATTTTTCATACCTTTTGTCTTGGATCATTTCTGACTAATGCACTGGACTGCACCTGGGGTGGTTCCCAGGAGTGAGGTGATGGGCCTCTGTGAACGGTCGCTACTTAAGCCACATGAACCCCAAGTTTATGTTTTTGTTTTTATCATTTCTCACCTTTTCAACCAAATTGGTGGTGTTTTATGATTGAATCTTAGAAGTATGTCATTTTGCATTTCTTTTTACGAGCTGAGTCTAATATTTTGTAATATTTCTAAGTGACTGTAAATTTTTACCTATGTTCTGTTCTCTATGCAAATAGCAACTTAAGGAGTAATTTGAAGAGGGAAAGGTTATAATTTTGGTTTGGTTTTGTTACATTTAAACAGGGTTTTAAATCCTTGTTTTAGAGAATGTTTCTTTCACCTGTCTGCCTGGAGCTGGAGGGTCTCTTTTCTGGGCACAGCAGACCTCTGTCCAGTAGTTTTCTATGTGTCCCAAATGTTTTGGAGAACATGCAGGTCTCTGATGTGTTATTAGATGTTCTAGTTATAACACCTTGGAAGCCACCAGACTGGAACTGATGGCTTTCCTGTATGGTCAGGGACAGGTGGACTCTGTCATGGTTGATTTCCTTTTGTCTTCACATAAGTCTTGTGTGAAATTGTCTTCTTAGAAATTATGTATTGGAAAGATAATCTAGCAGAAAAGATTTATTTTTGTCCTAATCAGTTTGGAAGCAACCTCACAAAGCACAGTTCTTGTTACAACATGGCTGCCCCTAAAGAGCTGCCCGGCATTCACCCTGGCCTGGGCCAGGCTGCCTGAGCTTCATTTTCTTTTGTGCTTGCAGGCGATGCACTTGGTATACCGAGCCCTTGAGAAGGAGCCTGTGCCCTCCGTCCTGCCCCCATCTCTCATCCCCCCCTCGAAAAGAAAGAAGACAGTGTTTGCGGGTGCCGTGCCTGTCCTGCCTGCCAGCCCACCACCAAAGGACAGCCTGCGCTCCACGCCTTCCCATGGCAGCGTCAGCAGCTTAAATAGCACTGGAAGCTTGTCTCCCAAGCACAGTATCAAACAGACACAGGTATGTATGTGCCCTCTGTATGCAATTGCTCCTCAGAACAGCCATCTTTCCAGTAGGGTCCAGTGAGACCCCAAAAAGGGCAGTTTTGTGATTTAATTTAAACAATTTTGTAATAGATACTTCAGTCCATTCAGACTACTTTAACAGAATCACAGACTGGGGCCTTATCAATGGCAAACATCTACTTCTCATGGTTCTGGAAGCTTGAAGTCCAGGATCAAGGTGCTGGCACATCTTGTATATTGGCGGGGCAGGGGAGGGGGGCCCTGTCCTGCCTCACAGAAGGCACCTTTTCCCTGTGTCCTTACAGAGGTGAAAGAGAAGGAGCTCTCGTTCCCTTTAGTGTACATATCCTATTCACAGGCGCTCCCTCATGGCCTAAGTACCCCCAGGGACCTCCTGATACGATCACAGTGGGCGTTAGGATTTAAATGAATTTTAGGGGGATACATATACTCCATAGCAACAAGGATTTAGAATGAATTACTCTTTCACTTGTATATAAATACCACCCTTCTTCAAACATACCCAGTGTACCCACCTCTGGGCTCTCCTCTCACATCTCTGCCCCTCCTGCATCAGGCATTCGCTCTGCTGGGCGGATACATCCTCAGATGGTGCCTCAAGTTGTGGGCCTCTGCCAAGGGGGCATTTCTTCGGAAGCCTGGTGGGACCACACTGACACATCCTGGGCCCACCCAAATGACCCTTCTCTCTCTACTTCTACATTTTCTTGGACTTCCATGTCCCCTATTAACTTCATGAGAGCAGAGCTAGGTTTTGGTTGTATGCTCAGTGTTTGGTACAAAAGAAATAATGAATTCCCAGGTAGGGCCACTTGCTATATGGAGTTTACTAGTTTTCCCCACATCTGCCTGGATTGTCTCTGTTTTTAAATATTTTTTAAATGCATTTTTTTTTTAATTCCCTATTAATTTTTTTTTTTTTTTGGTATGGATTTTCCCTGGAGCTCTGGTTTTCTCCCACGTCCCAAAGATGTACACCTTGGGTTCATGGGTATCTGTTCTGTTCTCAATTGTCCAGTGTTGGAAGGGTTGTGGGTGGGTGTGATGCATCCTGTGATGGAAGGATTTCTCTTCAGGGGGGGTCCTGCCTTGCACCCCGAACTGCTCGAAGAGGCTCTGGCTACCTATGACCCTGAACTGGAATTAGTGGGTTAGAAAATGAATGAGTGAATACAAATGATTATTGAATATTACAAGTGTTTGGGTTCTTTAGAAGTTTGGTGATATTTTTGTGACCAGAAATCTGCCATAGGAACTAAACTCTTGTTTATATCAATTAGCATATGGTCAAATTGGTTTCCTTATTTGTCATATCCAGGAACCTAGACAATGTTAATTGAGGATCCATTGCACTTTGTTGCACAGTCAGTACAAGTTGAGTGATCAGGTGAGCAAGGAGGCCACCCGTCTTGTGTCAGGAGACATGTGGGACTCCAACTATTTCCCTTGGCAGCCTCCTGTGTGTCCAAAAAGGCATTTCTTTCTGACAAGTGCAGCATCCCAGTGGGCTCTTTGTAAAGTGCAACTTTGAGAATGTCTGAAACATGGATGTGAGTTCACCCAGAATCCTGCTACACTGTCTGCCTCATTTGTAGTTTCAAAGCTAAGCCTTGACTGGACAAGGAGCCTTGACTGGCAGCCCACACCAGTGTGCAACTTCAGAATATGAATGATTATAGTGAAATGAGAAGCGCATAGTCACACAATGATTTTTCATCCATCTGATAAGTTGTTCAAGTTAAGCCTTGATTCCAGTGAATAATAGGTGATCAGAGAGGTCAAGGTTGACAGCTACCTGGCCACTGGAGTGGCATGTCCGGCTCAAGTTAAGCTCTGGTTGGTGAGTTTAATATGATTGTTTTTGGGAAGCCCAGTGTCCAGCCTGGGTTTCCTCACCAGCTCGCCAACTCTGCCTGGTGCGCCCTGAGGGTCCTAGGTATGTTGCAGTAGTCTTATAACTGCCCTCTGCAGGGAGACAGATGGACAAATCAGTGAACTAAGGAAGACCAGATAGGCCTGAGAAAAGCACAATAGCCCAGAAGTGGTGGGATCAGGAGGCACTCTTCTGCCTGTGGGACCAGCTGGGGAGCCATTGAGGGTGTGAGTCCTAGCTGAAGCCTGAATGATCTGAAGCATAAGGACTAGCCATACCAAAGCCCTGAAGTGAGAACTTGGTTTGCTCTAGAAACAGGAAGAAGTCTGGGGGATGGTGGGGTGGGGTCAGAGCGAGGAGCCAGCCCTCCAATAAGGCTCAGTCAGTTGTGTTTTCCAAGACAACCAGAACTTGTGTCTGCAGAATTCCTGCCAAGAGTCTTGTTAAGTACTGCAGGGAAGGATAATAGTAATACACTTGGGTTAGGTTAGTAGTGATACGCTTTTAGAAGCAAGTGGGACCAAGTGGCTGATGAATGTAGGCCAGCCAGCTTTATAGCCCCTCTCCTTGGTGATCTGGTGGCTCACCTTAGATCATGGGAGCATACTGCTGACTCCCAGAGTAGACTGATTTTTACCTGGGACCTCTGTTGGGCTCAAATGGGGAGGGGAGGGAGAATGTGCTCCTTTAGCTAGGGATAGGGCCAGCTGATGGAATCATACACATGAGAACAGGCATGTCAGGACCCATAGTCACTGTGCTGTAAACTGCCCTGACTAACCTCATCCCCAGGCCAACAACACCCTGTCTAGGACCTCTTGAGGGTGATCCAAAGGTCCTTCCCTCATGTTCAGATATGCAGTAAAATCCCCTCTAGCTAGTGGGTCTGTTCTCATCCATTGAGGCCTCTGACTGCAGAACCAACCTGAAAGCCAACCCTTCCTAGGGGGAGAACTCCACAAGAAGTCTGTCGTTGGATGTATAGCCCAAGTCAGTGTTGAAGTCTTACTCTTGACATGCCTGAGACCACAGAAATTGGACAGCACCTTTCCTGTTTGTGCAGCATTCTAGCAGGCTCTAGTCCAGGAGTTGTAATTTCCTGGGACCTGGAGGACACAGAAATTGGTCTCCCCCTCTGCTCAGCCTGTCCTGCTCCTCTGCTCCTGCTTCTGTGATTCTCAGTGATTTCTCTGGGCATGAGTTTTAGCCTGCTTGGAACACTTAAAATAAGTGTTCCTCTTCTCCATGAGGTCTTTTATGTGTATCCTTAGTGTCCTGGGACATGAGGGGGCTCGTGGAACTCATGTAATAAATGTGACAAGTAAAATGCCATTGTCCTTTGCTGTCTGTACCCTTGCTGTATGGGCTCCCTTGTTTGAATTTGGTCCATAGGGCCTGAGACATTTTTTGGTGAATTCTTGGCTACACTGAATCACACTACTCCCTCTCTGAAACATTGGAGCTGGGATGGGTCATGTGGTATTCCTGGCTCCCCAACTTGTGTTCTGGAGCTTGTGTTAAGATAATGAGAGAGGTCTGTTTAGAAAAAGCAGATGAGGAAGGGGCAGAGATGCTGTGGAACTTGGTGAGAGCACCGGTGTCACAGGGGACATGTCCAGAGTAAGCAGTCAAAGGGGCCTTGGGCCTCTGAATTGGAGATATGTAGACCTGGTGGGCCCTCTGCTGGGTTTGCCTTCCTTGAACAGATGGTGTGAAAGGTCACACTTGTAGCAGTGATTGAGTCTCATGGCTGCCAGAGTTGCAGCTGCTTCTGCCAGGGCAAGGCCCAGCGGGTGGGAAGCTCTGGAGGGTGGAGAGCATGCTTTCCAGAGGCCCAGCTCCCGCCCAGCATGAGGTCTCTGAGCAGCTGCCTATCCTACAGACATAGCTCCCCAAGTCTGGGTCTCTGCTTGTCTTGCTGCTTGTGCCCCGCATCACATCAGATCTACTGGTCAGGGACAGAGAAGGGTATCTACAGAACTCTGGAGTTGTGGGCATGGGGATACCCTGTAGCTGCAGAGAAACAGAAGATTGGAGACCAGGGTGGCTGGTTCGGGAGCTGGACAGGTTCTTGGGCAATGTTCCTTTCAAACGGGGTCAGTAGGGTCTTGAGCCTGGTGCTAAAAGCCCCTCTTGAGGGGAGATCCTGGCTTACCGTCATGCCCTAGGTGGTAGGGGTGGAAGGGCTTTTGGTGGATAGACTTGCTGGGCCTTCACTTTCCTCTCATCATGATACATCAATGTGTGGACAGAGGCACAGAATGGCTTCTGGGCAAGTTGGACCGGGCCAGCACCAACTTCTCCCAGTCTCAGTTTTCCCACTGACAGAATGGGTTTCTGTCCTTGAGGTTCATGGCATGAGGAGGGTTTCCACTCAAATGAATGTGAATGTCTTTGATAGTGTGTGTGTACATGAGAAAAAGCTTGGGGATTCACTGTATTGAAAAACCCTTCTAGCCAACAGTGAACTGGGTGGTGCCAGTAGCAGACAAAATGCGCTTTGATGAGATATTTCTGAAGACTGACCTGGACCTAGATGGCTATGTGAGTGGCCAGGAGGTGAAGGAGATCTTCATGCACTCAGGCCTCACCCAGAACCTTCTAGCGCACATATGGTAAGGAGGGAGAGCAGACACCTGCTCCTCTGTCTTTGGGGGCCTTGCTGTGTGGAAGTGAAGTGGGTGGGCAGGGGAAAGGCCCTGTGGAAGTGAGACTGCTGTGTGAAGAGCTGGAGGGGTGAGCAGGGCCAGAGTGGGTGGTCATCCGGCAGGGACCTCCATGTCTGCTGTTACTTTTACTCTTGCCAGGCTGATGGGAGGCCTAGATGTCAGGTAGAAGAGGAGTTGCCCTGTGGCCCATTATTTCTGTTGTTTATTTGTACAAGCGTGGGTTCCATGACTTGTATCTCCACTGGCCGAATCCCTTGTCTGTGATGTGTAATTTGCACCCCATCTTCCCCAGGGCTCTGGCCGATACCAGGCAAATGGGGAAATTAAGCAAAGACCAGTTCGCATTAGCCATGTACTTCATTCAGCAGAAGGTCAGTAAAGGCATCGACCCCCCTCAAGTCCTGTCACCGGAAATGGTCCCACCCTCAGAGAGGGGCACGCCCATCCCGGTGAGTAGTCTGGCTACACCCTGTCCCCTTCTAGCCTTTTCCAGAGCTCACCACCAGGTGGCACCAGTGGTCCACAGTCTGTGCCCCACAGTGACCTCTCTTTACCAGGGTTCTTGGGTGGGTGTAGGCGGCTCCAGTATTCCCCAGCAGAGCAGGAGATAATAGGGACTTTGTCCCTTATTCTAAGACCTCCTAGTCCCTGCTGAGTGATGAGGTCAACTCTGCAATTCCTAACTCCTGTCTAAATTTGGTTCCAGGACAGCTCTAGTTCCCTGGGCTCAGGGGAGTTCACTGGTGTGAAGGAGCTGGATGATATCAGCCAGGAGGTCGCCCAGTTACAGAGGTGCGTGGGAGGGCCCCTTCCTCCTGACCAGCCTCACACTCTCCTGGGTTGCTGGGAGTGTCAGAGGCTGTGAAACTGTAGAAAGTTGACTGTCACCAGTTTGTTCAGCAGACAGGAAGGGACATGAGTTCTGAGTTCTTGGATTGGCCTAACAAGCTGGTAATGTCGACCTCACTTGGGGTCCTCTGTCTTCGGGGTCTCACTATGTGGAAGTGAAGGGTGGGCTGGGAAAGGGATCTGTGGAAGTGAGACTGTGCTTTGTGAAGGGCTGGAGGGGTGAGACTGTGCTTTGGAGCAGGGCCAGAGAGGGTGGTGATAGGGTCCTAAGCAGTGTGGCCATGGAGTCCCAGGCAGGTGGTTGCTAAGTAATGTCAGCCCTCAATTGCAGGAAGGTTTGGTTCCTCCTTAGCACATAAAACAGGTGAACAATAGTGAACATGTGCTGGGGGGCCTTCACTCTGGCTTTCTGCTTCAATGCCTCTGCCTGCCCCCTTGGTTTTCCTCCTTGGCTTCGTGCCCTTAGTAGAGAAGAGCCCTGAGAAGCTAAGGCAGGTTAGAGGTCAGGTGGAACTGGTTAGACGCATGACTGGTCCCAGAGTCTTGGTTACCTGCTGTAGCTCAGCCTAGAGGTGGTTCCGATTCTGTCACTGCTCCTATATTCTTCAAATGAGAAGCCAGCACATGCAGCTGGCAAGGCTGAGTGGGACTGTGAGAGCAAGAGTCAGTGTCCCAGCCGTCAGCCCTAGATCAGGACCAACGGAGTAGGTTGGAGGGATCACAGGGGCCAGGGTCCTGAAAGGGACAGCAGTGTCTGGGTCAGGCCAGGGCTGCCTCTTCACAGCTGTAGTTCTAGCAGCTGGGAGCCTCATTCCCCTGGGAAGGTAAGGGCCAGACTTGGATCAACCCTGTGGTGGCTTTGAGGGTGACCTGGATGATGAGTTGGGTCTGATGAGACATCTCCCCTCAATGACCAGCCATGGTGGTAGGTCTGATGAGCTTTTGCTGGTGCTGACTATATCTGAGGCTGATGGAAAGGATTATTCAGACACTCACAGTGTTTCCTGTCTGACCTCACTGGCTGCAAGTACTTTGTCCCAGGAAGGAGTGAGCAGGGCTTATTGGCCACCTGTGGGTCCTGCCCTGGAGGCATCTAGAGAGTGTCTTAGCCTTCCAGCTGCTATAAAATAGTTACAGACTGGCATCTTAACAGACACACTAATTTTTCTTCATCCTGAGTTTGGAGGGTAGATCTGGAGTTTAATGAGGGCCCTCTTCCTAGTTTACAGGGGGCAAGAGGCAGGGAGCTTTCTGGGTACCTGTTTTTAGGGACATTGATTCTTATTCTCAGGGCTCCACCCCTATGACCTAATTACCCTCAAAGACCCGACTCCTGAAACTGTTACCTTGGGGGTTAGACTTCAGTATATGAATTGGGGGGACACAGGCACTCTGTCCACAAGGAGAGATTGGCTGCTGCGTGGAGGAAGGTGAAGAGACAGGTAGGGCTAACCAAGTGCCTGATTGCACACCGGCCAAGCAAAGTCTCCCTTGTGGGAATAGCTGGAAGCAGTGGCAAGTCCAGAGACCCTCACTGCCTGTCTTCTGCCAGCCCTCTACACTTCCCACCCGACTTGGCACACCTCCAAACTTCTCACTGTGCTTTCCTAAGACAAATTGTGCCTACCTGTCTCTGTTCTTCACCAAAGAGCTCTCCCCTGGCCTTCCTGGGCAGGATGCCTTCACCACCTTTCCAGTGGGATTTCCCCTCAGGGAAATTCATCTGTGCCTTGATTTGTCAAGGCATATCTGTGCCTTGAAGGCAGAGCCTCTCATGGTATGGGATGTGCCATCTTGGTGTTTCTGGGAGGTGGACACTCACCATTGAGTGAGCAAGTGAGGCTAAGCTTTCTCTTGCTGCAGAACAAATCACCACAGATGTAGTGGCTTAAAACCATGCAAATTTATGTGCTTATGTGGCCAGAAGTCCAGGTGGGCTTGACTGGGCTCCCTGCTCAGGTTTTCACAGGGTCAAGGTCACAGTGTTGGCTGCCTTGGGGAAGAATCTGAATCGGTCCCTTGATATGCTGGGTTTGAGAACTCTATCCCTGCTGGGTGCAGCAACTGCAAGGGGCTACCCTCGCTGCTTCTGGAGGCCCGTCCAACATGACTTCCTTCTGATGGGGCTGTCTCACCTGATGCTTACCTGGGCCGCTCATCCTGGGCATTACTCTGACTTCCTCTTGAAAAGTTCCTACTTTGAAGGGCTTGAGTTATGTTGAGATGCTAACTATGGCATCCATGGATTCTACCCCCACTGAAGAGAGGGACTTGTAGGGTAAACATCACTGGGGTCTCTCCTAGATTTGCATTCCATTGTCCCCTGGGCAGGTGGCTGCTGAGTTGAGAAGTCTGGGTGGGGAGCATGCCCTGAGGTAATGGTCGGCTCATTCACTCTGTGCTTTCCTGAAATGTTTTTGAAAACTCAGAGAGAAATACTCACTGGAACAAGACATCAGAGAGAAAGAAGAGGCCATCAGACAAAAAACCAACGAAGTTCAGGTAAGCACAGCGCCCGTTCTCATCAGGTGAGGCTTGCGTGGGGTATGAGGAAGGTCACCCTGTGCTTGTCGGGAACTTGAGCTGCAGGCTTTCTAGTCAGTGTTTTTCTTTCCATAACTATAGAGGGGAGGTTTTTTTAAAAAATAAAATTGAGATTATAATTCACATAATATAAAATACACAGTTATTAGGTGGACAATTTGGTGGTTTTTAGCGTATTTATTATGTTGCTTAACCATCACCCATGTTTAGTTCCAGAGTATTCCATCTAATTAAAAAGAAACTCATCCCCGCTGCAGTCACTCCCCATCCTCCTCCTTTCATGTGTTTGCTGTGTGTGATTTGCCTATTCTAGACAGCTCTTATCACTGGGCTACTCAGTAAGTGTCCTTGTGCCTGGTCTCTCAGCATGCTGTTCTCGAGGTTCAGCCACATTGTATGGTGTCAGGACTTAATTCCTTTTATGACGGTGATGCTTAACTGAGTGCATGGATCACATTGTGTTTATCCATTCATTCAGTAGACGTTGGGCGCTTCTGCTTTTTGTCTATATTGAGTAATGGTACTATCAACACTAATGTACACATTTTTTTAAAACATATATTTATTTATGCATACAGGAGCTGGAGTACAGGCCAGAAGTGTGCGGGGTGGGGGAAGGGGGGGATGAGAGGAGTCACCAGAGACAGAGTGGGGAACAGAACAGGCAGACTGACTGAAATACACTGCTGAGGGGCGCAGCGGGCAAGACAGGAGAGTTCTGCTGTGCCATGTGGGTAGCTCCCTGGCCGGAGATCGAACTTGTGCTGCAGTGGCTGCGGACAGCTTCATAGGTTGCATCTTAAACCCTTGTGCCACCAGGGAGGCCCAATGTACACATTTTTGTCTGGACATATGGTTTTATTTTTCTTGGTATCTACTGAGTTTGAAGTCATATGCTAGATCTTATTTTTCACCTTTTTTTTTTTTTCAAAGATTTGTTTATTTATGCATACAACAACTGGGGTACAGGCCAGGGATGTGGGGGGTGAGAGGATTCACCAGAGACAGAGTGGGGAGCAGAATAGGCAAATCGACTGAAGTACACCACTGAGGGGAGCAGTGGGCGAGACAGGAGAGGTCTGCCGCACCATGTGGGTATCTCCATGGCCGGCGGGGGTCGAACCAGCACTGCGGAGGCTGTGGATTGCTTCATTGTGCGGTGCTTAACCCCTTGTGCCACCAGGGAGGCCCCTCTTATTTTTCACCTTTTAAGGGGGATGAGAGGATTCACCAGAGACAGAGTGGAATACAGAACAGGCAGACTGACTGAAATACACTGCTGAGGGGAGCAGTGGGAGAGTCAGGAGAGGTCTGCTGCACCATGTGGGTTGCTCCCTGGCCAACTGGGGATCGAACTTGTGCTGCAGTGCCTGCGGATTGCTTCATAGTGCGGTGCTTAACCCCTTGCTCCACCAGGGCGGTCCCCCTTCACACTGTTTTAAAAAGTAGCTGCATCATCATACAGTCAAACTTACAATGCACGAGGGTTCTAGTTTTTCCATATCCTCACCAACACTTCACATTTTTTTCATTGCAGCCTTTCCAATGGATGTAGTATGGTATTTCACTGTCCCTAATACTCTTCCTAATGATGTTGAGTATCTTTTTGTGTATCTGTTGGCCATTTGTATATCTTTTTGGAGAAAAGTCACTTTCTTTGTACATTTTTTAGTTGGTTGTCCTTTTATAACTGAGTTGTAAGAGTTCTTATTATTTTTTAGATACTCCCCTATCAGATACATGATTTGTAAATATTGTGTTCCACCTGTGGTTTGTCTTTTCACTTTCTTGATGGTGCCCTTTGAAGCACGATATTTTCAAATTTTGCTGAAGTCCACTTTATTCCCTTTTTTTTTGCTCTTTTATCATCATATGTAGGAACCTGTTGTCAAATCCAAGGTCACAAAGATTTACCTCATTTTTTTTTGTGGGAGCTTTATATTTACAGTTTTTACATTTAGGTCCGTGACTTTTTAGAGCTAACTTTGTATATGGTGTGAGAAAGGGGTCAGACCTCATTCTTCTGCATGTGGAGATCCAGTTGTCCCAGCACCATCTGTTGAAGAAGCTGTTCTTTCTTCCTGAATGGTCTTGGCATCTTTCTGGAAAAGCAGTTGACTATAGATGTGTGAATGTATTTCTGGACTCAGTTCTGACCCATTTATCTATATGTCTTTATGCCAGTGCCACGCTGTCTTGATGACTGTACCTTTGTAAAGGATTTTGAAATCGAAATGTGAGTCTTCCAGCTTCAGTCTTCTTTTTCAAGATTGTTTTGGCTATTCTGAGTCCCTTCCATTTCTTTGTGATTTTTGGAATCTGTCACTTTCTGTGCAGAGCCCAGCTGGGGTTCTAGTGGTGATTGTATCAGGTCTTTAGGTTAGCTACGTTATTTCTTTTTGCTCTAACACACCTCCCCAACCCCAGTGCCCTTCCTAACGACACTGGCAGGTCCTTTTCCCTGTGGGACTCTTAAATGGTTTTTTCTCTGTTACAGAATGAGGTCCAGACATACACACTGGACCTCACCTGCCTTCTTCCTTCTTCTCTCCCTCACCCACTTCTTGTCCTTCCCTCAGATGTGGCAGACCCACATTTCTGCCACTGACTCACCTCTCAAACATCCTGTGTGTTTTCTCCCCTACACTTGTCAGACTTGAGATCTATTCCTCAAATGAAAGGTTGGGACAAGCAGATAGAGGAGCAGACAATTCAGCTCCCCAAAGTTGGATTTACTGTCATGAGAGGAGGGAGCAAAGATGTTTTTGTAGGGAGAGGGAGACCCTGCGCATTCTTCTGTTTTTTTCTGACATAGCATCAGCCACCATAGCGTCTCTGGCCCATCTTCCCTTATTCCCAGGAACTCTTCACATTCACTGTGGGTTGTACTGTTGGTTCCCAGACAGTCCCTCCTGATAGAAATTGTATTGTGTACAGCTTTTGCTCTCACAGGCCTTCTATATGTACCTCTCTGGGATCCTTTCCTGGAAGTCTAACAGCTCAAGGAGACCTATGCTGGCCTTGGTGATGGATGCTATACTTGGGGAAGCTTCAGCAGTGGACACCCATCATGTCCTACCCCTCTGCTTGAATGGCTTACAGGAGGTGCCCACTGCGGAAACCAATCCCAGATCCAGTCTCTTTGGCGTAGCCTGCAGCATGGCTTCTGTTGCCTCACCCCTTTTCCCTTTGTTCTGGCTAGAGGGTGACACCCCTGACCTTTCTTATGCCCTTGTGACCCCTCCTCAGGGCTTCTCTCCTCCCTATTGCCTCCTGCTCGTCCTTTGGGTTCATCCTAAGTGGTGCTTCCTTGGGGGTCTTCTTCACCTGTGCAGTGTTGGCTCAGTCTCCCCAGGCCCCCATGACTCCCACCAACAGCTCCTGTGCTGTCCCTCAGTGCTGCTCATCCCAGTTCATCTGTATTTGGGTGATGCCTCTTATTATCCCACCCCTGGCCATAGATCACTGGAGAGAAGGGGATGGAGGTGTGGTTCTTAGTTGGGCACCCACCCCATCTTCCTGGCCCCTGGCCTCTCAGATTATCATTGACTATCTGCTGAAAGATTTGGCGTATGTGGCAAGTGTGTGCAGGATGCTGGTCTGAGTTCAGGATAGGGCTGGGGTTTGTAGACCATCCTAAAGGCTCCAGCCCTGGCTGTGATAATGTAGCCTTGGGTGTGCCCCATTTTCTGTTTTCTCAAGTGAATTCATGCCATCTTCCTCAGGAATTACAAAATGATCTAGACCGGGAAACAAGCAGTTTACAAGAGCTGGAAGCTCAGAAACAGGATGCACAAGACCGCCTGGATGAAATGGACCAGCAGAAGGCCAAACTCCGTGACATGCTCAGTGACGTCAGGCAGAAGTGCCAGGACGAGACCCAGATGGTGAGTTGGAGCTCCCTAAGCTGCTCTCAACTCAGGAGGCCTTGAGAAACAGGCCCAGACAGTCTGCTGGCTAAACAGTTTCTGAATGTGTCACTTAGAAAAGCATCTAAGCATATGTGACCTGACCTTAGCCTCACCCACTGAGTATAAACATCAGTAGCCTGGGTCCCCACAAACCTGTGTGTGACACCTTCCTACACCCTAACCCAAGCCTCATAGCACATGGTCCAGGACACCTCTCTCCTCTTATTTGCATGTAGTATCTTCACTGTTGGTCACAAACTAGGAGGCTGCAGCCTCACATGTCTCCTCCTAGGCCTCTCACAGGATATCCGCCCTCTGGGGATTATATGTCTTCCTGGTCACATATCTCCTTATTCCAAGTGATTGCTTGGTTACATAGGGGCAAACATGTCTGCCTTGGCATTTCTGTCTTTGTTTTGAATGTGGAGTGTGAGGTGTATAAAGAAACCAGGTATCTGGGCTGTAGACAGGTGTCCGCCTCCTGGATTATCTCCTTTGTAGAATCCTTAGAGTCACCTTCCATCTTATTTCAGATCTCCTCATTGAAGACCCAGATCCAGTCTCAGGAATCTGACCTCAAGTCCCAGGAAGATGACCTAAACCGGGCGAAATCAGAGCTGAACCGGCTGCAGCAGGAGGAGACACAACTGGAGCAGAGCATTCAGGCTGGGAAGGTCCAACTGGAAACCATCATCAAGTCCCTCAAGTCCACACAAGATGAAATCAACCAGGTATCCCCTGGGTTGGGTTTGCTGTGACAACCTGCAGTGCAGGCTCTTCTGGGGTCTTTTGCCCATGGGAGTAGCCATTGTGAGCTCTCACACCTGTGTGTATGCTCTGCAGGCCTGAGTGTGTGCTGTGGCTGCTTGTTTCCTTTGCTGTCACCCATCTCATTTATGTTAGGTTCTCTTCTTGGAAACTATCATCTGGAGGTTAAGCACCAGAGAACCCTCGAGCGAGTGTTCCAGCATCGTACTGATTTTGCCTTGCTGACCTTTTACCTCCCCACCTAAGCACATAACAAATTATGTTACCAGCTCTTGCCAACCTGGTTCTAGCACAGGCAAGAGGTATAGGGCTGGCACATTGAGGAGGCACCACCACCTGTAAAGTATATCACCCCGTATGGCTCCTGGTCCAGTTCTTCAGGCTGCCAACTTTCCCATCTCTCCTCCCTCCGCTACTCATCAGCAGAGGGAAGGCTCTTTTCCTGCTCCCCTATATGGAATGCTATTCCTTGCTGGCTGTTGGTTGTCCCACATGCAGGGTAGATGTGACATTTGCCCTTGGCAATACTGAAATGGCTACTCATGCATCCTTGCTTGGCTGAATCCATCTCTTTCTTCTTTTTGCCAGTTTACAGACAAATGCACAGCACTCAGGGACATAATAGCCTCTAAAATGCTTTTTTGTTAATTACTATCTATAGGATTCTCATAAATCTTTACCCTCCCAGCCCTTAGTGTTTTTAAAAGGTGGATAGGAGCCAATACCTAAGAGTATGTTATTGATAGTAATAGGAGCTGCTGTTTATCATTTCTATGTTTGGGGTGTGTGTGTGTGTGTGTGTTTGCAGTTTGCAGTTAGGTATTATTCATGATACCTGATGCTCCATTTTGGAGAAGAGGAAACAGAGGTTAGGTCACTAGCCTGAAATCATGCAGTTTGTAGGAAACAGACACGTGTCAGTGTCTGTCGGACTTCAGTCTTCCTTCCCCTGGCCTCCCTTCCTGCCTCCAGGAATGAGGGAGCAGCAAACAGGATAATGAAAACTCCATAAAAGAAAATGACTGTAGAACATCATTTTGAACATATTGACAGTCTGAATCTTGTCCCTGTCCTGTGTTTGTTCAAGTCGACAAGCATTTGTTTGGATGTATGCCTCTCTCAGGGACCAGGCCGTGAGAAGGGTCTCATCTTGGTTCATGAGCCATCTCACTCATCACAGATGTAGTGGATGGGTAATTCAGTTCTTCATGTGAATTGTTGGGGGTTGGATATTAAGAGAGAAAAATGTCCTGCCCAACATATTTTCCCAAAACCTCATGTGATATTTTCCGTGTTTCTGTTGTGCAGGCAAGAAGCAAACTCTCCCAGCTGCACGACAGCCACCAGGAAGCCCAGGAGCAGTTTGAACAGGCACTTGACGGGGCCCGAGGTGCCAGCCTGACCAACCTAGCTGACCTGAGCGAGGGCGTCTCCTTGACAGACAGGGTCGGTTTTGGAGCCATGGTAAAGGTCGAATAAACATGTCCTAGTCCTGGATTAAGTCTCAGGTTGTGAACAGAGAATGCCCTGCCTGCCAGAGTTCATCCCTGCCAACCTTAGTTCTTTCCACGTGCAGGGTTTTTGTTTTTTTTCTACTGCTCTGCATGTCCCCATTGTCCCTGCAGCCTGGCATCTGGGCAAAGCCAGGGGTGGGCCAAATCTTTGGTAAAAACCTGTTTTACTGCCATTTCTGTCTAATAGAGGGCTTCTTAAATCTAACCAAAGTTGGATTGATCTCTTTACACATTGTGAAACCCCGCATTCTGCTAAGTGAGGAACTGGGGAATATGTGTGTGTGTGTTTACCGTTAGAGCACCTTGGAAATCAGATGTATCCATAAGGAACAAGAAAAAATGACAGCCTTCCTGGGGTTTTGCTGGGTCACCTATGAATTGGCTTCTCTCCTGAAATTTAGTTATATTAAGCACTTTATTTCAAACTCCATGACCCTAGTGGTTCTGACTGAGACCCAAGGGACTGGGGGTCTGTTAGGTGTTTGTGGGCTCTGGGACCATGGACAGGCAGCAGGTCTTAGTCACACATCCCTGTCCCTGCCAGAGTCTCCCACTGCAGTCTAAACCCTGACTCGAGCCATTTCCAGTTGAGTTTGACTGCTGAGAGCATCTTCTTGCTGTTGAGGGAACTAATGGAATGTGTTGTTTCTCGATGGATTTTTTTTGTGCTCTTCCTTTAACAGTTTGGCTGGCTCTGTCTCCTCTGCCTCCCAGTGTCTTCTCTGCCTCTGGAGTGTCTTTTTTGAGCCCTTCTCCTGGTCTATGTGCTTTTGGACACCTTCTTTGCTGCATAATATGTCTCTCTCTTAACAAGACTTGGCCCTTTAGTTCATTCCTTTACATGTTTCTTTCCTCAGTAGCCAAGTACTCAACCCCACAAATCTACAGGGAAGCTTACGTTTTCCCCAAACTACTTTAAAGGCATTGTGGGTGTTCTCACCTTCTGCCTCCCACAGGCTCCCTCTGCCTTTCAAATACCCACTCCTATTTAGGAGTCTGTAGAGGTTTCTTGTCCATTCTGGGGCCCTTTGCAACTCTACTGTCTGCATTTAGACCATGAATATCAGTTTCTCATGAATCGTGTGAGGCAGGACTGCCTCTTGGCTCTCTGGCTATTGCGGTGTGTGCCTCAGCTTCCCAGCAGACTCCCCTTGTCTCATCTGCCTTTGTTACTCTTGCTCACCCTGTTCCCTTTTTATTCATGAATACCTCACCCTTAAACTCTTCTGCATGTTTTGATACAATTGGTTTCCTTGGATAAAAGTGGCAGTGAAGTGGCAATTCCAAAGTGGCCCGTGACACCCCTCTCCCCCCATTGTTTACCTTTATTTTTAATTATCTCATAAGTGGGGCAAAGTTTACATGATAGCCAATTGTCTCAGGATGTTGATGTTAGATATGCTACATAAAATTTGCACCCAGTCTCTGAAAGAAAAATGATATTTATCTTGTATAAATACAATGTTTAAAAGCATCTTTTTGGGATTTGTTTCCATTTCTTAATAAACACATTAAAGAGGGCTTTTTGTTTACTCCTGAACATTTCAAGACTGCTCCAGAGACGGGATGAAAGGGATGGGCTTAGTTCTCTAAGACCAGTACAATCACAGAGGTACATTTCAAGTTTTCTAAGACTGGCCAGTTTTACCAAAGTTACTCAGTTTAGTGCTTTGCTCACACGGTATTACTTTGTCCGAGTATCACAAAATTGCTAAATCCATATATATATATATATATATATATATATATATATATATATATATATCCTCTCCTTTCATCTGAAGTGATAATACTGGCCTCTTGCTCTTGACGATAGCTTCCTAACCAACTCATGTCACAGAGAAGAAGTTAAATCATCTCAGACTGACTTATGCCTAATTGAGGGCTCATCAATTGGGAAAGATTGGGTTGTCTGTCATGTCTGACCCATGGGGGCCTGCTCGAGCTGGTGTTGTAAACTCTCCAGTGCCCATTATTAAATAGAAGTTTTGTAAGTTACCTTTGGTAACTTGAAATCAGCCACTATGGGAGTAATTACACCCCGGAATTGGCAGAAGTTCACAATCAGGGCTTTCCCCACCCCTGGAGCTTGGGTTCCCAATTTGCCCCTACCACATACTCTTTCTAAGGTGAGGGACTATCAACAGATGCCTCTGGTGCCCTTCCAGGCTGTTCATATCTATTTTCTAGGAAGTCCAGAAAGTAAGACTGGTCACTGAACTTGCTGTTGAAGGTATTTTAGCTTTGCTGAGGAACATATCCTCCAAACCTGTGCTGATCTTTGCCTGGTAGACCACTTTTCACTGGGAAGTGGCTAGTGGATCATGGCACTTGTAGCATCTGTGGTGGGGAAATCTAGTTTTCTGCTCTGATTATGAAATGGCATCAAACCACAGTGGTTACCCTGTCAACATGAACCCTGCTGGAATCTTCTTGGGCTTCACATTTAAAGGGGGAGGCGGTTGTCTCCTCAGGCAAACAATTGTTCCTGAGAGGTTGCAGGCCCATTATTCAGCTCAGGTGGCTTGTGGCTCAAGCCCCAGGATCTTTCTCTTCTCTCGTCTTCTGCTGTTTAGTAGTCTTCCAAGTGATAGTTGAAAACATTAACAAACAAATAAATACAAACACAACCAACTTGTAAATCCACACCAATTAAAAAGTAGTAGGAGCTTCTATTCTGAGTCTAAACTGTCATTCTTAATACACTGCTTTGTCCAGAATGTTACTTCTCTTTGTCCTCCTTCTGGAATTGTCCAGCTGCCTCCCTGTGCAGTGTGAGGGGTTTCTTTCCCACTTTGGTCTCCCAGCTTCCTTAGATCAGGACTTCTGAGTCACACTTATCTGTGTCCAAGAGCCCCATCGGATGCTTGTTGGGCATCTGCATCTTGTGATCCTTGTGCTGTCCATGCCAACTGGGGGTGCAGAGCTTGGAAACCTGTACCTACTTGCCTAAGAACCCGGCTTGGTTTCCCCCTTGGGGAGCCCTGTGGTTGGAGTATCCAGATAATTTTTCCCAGGTAAGAAAAATCTGTAATCATCCAAGGGTAGGGGTGTTGGTCACTTCTTCCTGTCAGCCCAGCACCTGAGCACCGTCTTCCTCCCCCAAGGGGACAGCCTGGGTCTGCCAACGCCTTAGCAGGGATTTTCCTTTGATACATTTGGTGTCATTGCTCTCAACATTGTCCATATTTTTTTGCGAAAGCCCCAGGTCTTTTCTTACTTAGTTCTGGTCAGTTGGAATAATGGATGCACTCACCTGGCCCAGCATACTCACACGTTTGCCAGACTTGGCTCATTGAGGGTGTTGTACTCTTGTGTGTCACAGTCACAGAAACCTTCGTGTTTTCACTGAGGGTGTGTCTCTGGTCACCAAAATAGATTCTGAATTGCTAAACCAAGTGCATTGTTCCTGTGCATATGGCCAGCCCCCTCTCTCAGCCCTTTCCACATGTGCTGTTCAGAAGCAAATTTTTTTTTCTTCTGCTTTAGATATACTTGTTTGTTTCTAGAAATAAGTGCTTTTTTAAAAAAAAAATGCAAAGTATTGAATATGCTCTAGTGATTCTAACTGCATGAGTTCTTGTTTCCTCCCAGGATGTAAAGAGCCAGCGTGCTTCTTGGTGTGGAAATGGTGCTTGTTTAAATGCCCACTAGGTATATACTCACTGACAAAAAGATGTTGAGGGTAGCCACACCTTTGAATGAGGCCTATAGCTACAACTTTGGGGTGGCTCCTTACACTTTCTTTTTTGAAAATTCCAAAAATACTACCTTTTTTCTGATTCAATGATTAGAAGAAATTTAATTGTGGTAAAATACACAAAACATAAAATTTACCATCTTAACCATTTTTAAATAAACTGTTCAGTAGTGCTAAGTTCATTAGCATTTTGTGAACTAAACTCCGGAAATTTCTCATCTTCCCCTTAAACACTCCCCAACCTCCAGCCCCTGGCACCCACCATCTTACTTTCTGTCTCTAAGAACATCACTCCCCTAGAGACCTCATGTAAGTGGAATCACACAGTATTCATCCTTGTGCATCTGACATATTTCACTCAGCACTATGTCCTCAAGGTTCATTCATGTTTAGAATGTATCAGAAATGCCTTCTTTTTGAGGCTGAACAATATCTCAATTATATAGTCATGCATTGCTTAACCATGGGGGTACTTTCTGAGAAATGTGTTGTGTGTGAATGTCATAGAGTATAATTATACAAGCCTAGATCACACAGCCTACTACACATCTAGGCTACATGGTACAGCCTGTTGGGACCACCACTATGTATGAGATAGGTCCATTGTTGTTGATTGAAATATTAAATGATGCATTACTCTTTAGACTATAACTCTTTTTCCACTCATCTATTGATGGACATTTGGACTGCTTCCACTCAATGATTTTTAAATAAGCTTTTTTGGAAGAGTGTCAGACTTACAGAAAAATTGTAGGCATAGTGCAGAGAATCCCCACGTCCCAGAATCCCCATGTCCCAGATCCAGCCTCCTCATTGCAAACATCTTATGTGGCAGTGTCAGTGCATGATTATTAGCTAAAACCCACATTTCTTCAATGATTTTAAAAAAACCAACTTTTAATTTCACTTAAAAGGGAAATGTGAGTTAGGTATAGAATTCTATATTGTGTTTTATATCTGAAATAATAAAATCCCTGTCCTTTCTCTTCACAAAATTACAGGATGATCCTTTCAAAAATAAAGCCTTGTTATTTAGCAACAATGCACAAGAAATGCATCCAGATCCCTTCCAAGCTGAAGATCCCTTCAAATCTGACCCATTTAAAGGAGCTGATCCTTTCAAAGGTATCTCACTTGTGGGAACCCCCTTCCACATGGAAAGGCTACTGTTTAGCATAATTAGAGATGACCCCATCTGAAGTGGAGGAGGAAAGGGATTTGAGCTTAATGAACCCCTTGTGTTTTCTGCCCTATTCTAAGTAGAAAAAATCTGAGGCACTGGGGTACCTGGAAGGGTGGGCTCCAAGTCCACATGATGCCCCATTAAAGCTGAGTTGACCCTGAAACAGATCTGCATTCTGGTCCCCCAGAGGGCAAATCCTTCCCTGTTCACCTCACAGGGTTGACAAGATAGTCAGATGGTATGATTGGAGATTATGAAAGTACCTAGTAAGCAAGAAATTCCCATAGCATCTCAGGTCTCAACCTTGTGAGCTTCCTCTAGAGCCATGCACAAGTCAAGAATATCAAAGAATTCTAGAAACGACATTTCCCACATTTCTCTTTTTTTCAGAGCAGAACAGTATTTCCAGGGAAGCTCTCTATAGGTTTCTGAAAAAAAAAATTGCCGAGACTGGGTGAGGCCAGTGGGACTTCTTCCCAGTTCTCGACTGAGGTTGAAGTGCCATAGGTTGGGCGGTGAAACAGGCAGCTCTCCACACTCTTATGCTCTAGGGCTGGCATGCAGATGAGGAGGGGGCATCTGAGGGAGGTGGGAGGCAGCTGAGACAAAAGTGACACCCAGCACAGAGGGAGTGTGTGCTGGCTCTGCTGCACTTTCCTGGCCATTCTGCAGGGAGCAGGCACCTGTGCTTTCATTTTGCCTTCAATGTCTCAGATGGTGTTGCTTCTGTGCTCCTACTAGGATGCCAAGGACATTTCTAACAGGCATCTCAACATTCCTCTCTTACCTAGGTGACCCGTTCCAGAGTGACCCTTTTGCAGAGCAACAAACAGCTTCAGCAGGTAAGAAAGGCTATCATGAGTTGTTCACGTTGAGGGAAATGGACAGATATCTTCCAGCCTCCTCCCGGGTCTCCTGTGATGTGGCTCAGGGGTTTAGTTTCTGAGGGACCTGGTAGTGACACCATCCTTCTGGTTAGTCTGGTGCCCTTTTGCCTGTCTTGTACCAGGAAGAGTAAAAATAGAGAAGAAGCTGCTGGTATCAGGCACTTGTTTGGTCATGCCTGGGGAATCTAGATCCCTTGTGCCTGCTGTGACACTGTGGCGGCATCAGTGGTGTCCATACTTGGTGGAACTTCTGTCACCACATCCAGAGTCATAGCAGCATAGATTGGGAAGGATAACTGGCACCTTACATGAAATCCTAGAGTCCTGTTTCCTCCTGGTGAAAGTGGTTTTCGCCCTCATCCAGTCACTGTGTAATGGGTCTTACCTAGGTGACCCGTTCCAGAGTGACCTTATCCGAAGGGAAGGAGCACACTGGGTGTGGTGTGGGGACTATGCTTCCTGTTTGTTTATTTTTATTGAGGTGAAATTCATATAGCACAAATGAACCATTTAAAATTCAGTAGCATTCAGCACATTTTAGCACATTGTGCAGCTGTCACTTCTATCTAGTTCCAGAACATTCCATCGCCCCAAGGGAAACCTCATCCCTAGGTACAATCACTTCCCATCCCTTTCCTCTAGGCCCTGACAACCACTAATGTGCTGACTGTGCATTTACCCATATTGTTTATCTTTGCTATTTTTAAAATCTGCTTTGTTGAGAAGGATAATTTATACACACACAAAATTTACCTAATTTAAGTGTATAATGAGATACACTTTGACAAATGTGTATAGTCGTGTGGGATTGAGAACATTTCCTTCATTCTGGAAGGTTCCCTAATCCTTCCCCACTCCCAGGTCCCCGGCAACTACTGACCTCCTTTCTATCACTATGGTTTTTACCCTTTCTTGGTAGAGCCACATAAATTGCATCGGTCAATTAACATGTTCTTTTTATATTTGGGTTCTTTCACTAAATGTTCTTTATTCATGGAGAATTTTTTCCTTTTTACCCCAAACACCTAGATCCATTTGGAGGGGATCCTTTCAAAGAAAGTGATCCATTCCGAGGCTCTGCCCCTGACGACTTCTTTAAGAAACAGACAAAGAATGACCCGTTTACCTCAGACCCATTCACGAAAAACCCGTCCTTACCTTCGAAGGTGAGTGACACTGGGAAGGCGCGGATGATACCTGAGTGGCACCCGAATGAAAGCAGCCCTTCCTCTTCCTCTGTGACTTAGGGCATCATACTTCTAATTGCTCGTTTGGCTTGACAGATATGGGCCTTGTGTGTTGCGTGAGGCTGTGCAGGTACTGGATCACTGGCCTAGTCTGTTTCTAGATATCATGGTCACCAGTTCCTGTGAAGGCCACCTGGTCCTATGAAGCAGAGTGTCACATCCAATTCTTTTCTGTGCCTCCATTACTTAATGCAGGACACCAGCTCTCTGTTCTGCTGCCCCACTTTCTCTCTCCCAACAAGGACAATACCAGGATAAAGCACCACATACCCCCTGCCTCTACACACCACACTACCATTCTTAGAGCACAGTGCTGATGGGATCAGGTTGGGATCAGGTTGCCTCTGAGGGCCTGGTCACGCACGAGAAGCCCGTATTTGCAGCCTGGCAGCACCTAGTGTGAAGACACACACGGACACCTGTCCCCCAAAATGTAGTAAACCACATGTTCTACACAATGATAGGCTGACCAGACTGGGTCACATTGGTGTCAATAAAGGGTTAAAAAATAAAAAAAAAAAAGGAACAGAGAATTTTTGTGTATAAGTGAGGGCAGTTTATATCCTCCCTTCATGTTCTTACTACATCTCTGTACCCAGCTTTTTAACTTCTTGGGCTTTCCTTTCTTCAGAGACCTATGGGTCTATAATTCTAGTCACAGAGATCCTGGAAGGTAGGGAATAATTTGTTTTGTTTTGGTTTGGTTTTTTAAAGATTTATTTACAAGAATTTATTTACAAATTTATTTATAAGAATTGGGGTACAGGCCAGAGATGCAGGGGGTGAGAGGATTCACCAGAGAGAGAGTGGGGAACAGAACGGGCAGACTGACTGAATACACTGCTGAGGGGAGCAGCGGGCGAGACAGGAGAGGTCTGTCCCACCATGTGGGTTTCTCCCTGGCCGGCTGGGAATTGAACTCATGCTGCAGTGGCTGCGAATTGCTTCATAGGTTGCATCTTAACCCCTGCGCCAACAGGGAGGCCCTGTGGGGATTAATTTGTAACATTTCTGTCTATAAGTTCTGCTGTGAGAGCCCCCTTTGTTCTTGGTGTTAACCAGCTGTGTTCTTACTATCAATTTTTTTGTCTTTTCTACGGGCCAAATTTTTTTTATAAACCTAGTTTTGACTGTTAATTTTTTTTAATGGTTTGTTTCTCTTTCACTGACTTCTGCTCTTTATTAATTCCTTCCTCCTACTTTTTTTATTAGTACTTTGCTCATCTAATTTCTTAGGATCCAATCTCAGATCATTGAATTTAGACCTTCTTTTCTAACGTAAGTTTCAAAACTACAAATTTTCCTCCCAGCATAGCTTGGGCTACATCCCTTACATTTTAATATGTCGTATCTTCATTGCCATTCAGTTTGAGATATTGTCTAGTTTCCCTTGTGATCTCTGTTGAACCACAAATTATTTGAAGTATGTCATTTCATATCTAGATACTTGTTTTTTTCCCATAGATACAATGTCGATTTCCAATTATTTTATTGTTATTAGAGAATATATTTTGTCTGTTTCCAATCCTTTTAAATTTACTGTGACTCATTTTCCAGTCTGAGTTGGTGAACATATCTGTGTAATTTAGGAGAAGTGTATCTGCGGTTGTTGGGGGGCATGTTCTATAAATGCTGGTTATGTCAAAGTAGTTGATGGTATTGTTCTGTCTTTTGTTCGTTTGTTTGTCATTTAGCTCTACCAGGTGCTAAGGTTTATGTGTATGTTAAAATCTCCTATCATTGTGGAATTGCCTGAATCCCCCTTAATTCTTTTTGTTTTTCCTCATATATTTGAAGCTTTCTCAGGTACTTACACGTTTATGACATTGTGGACCCTGAATCAGTGACCTTTTTGTAATTATAAAGGGTTTCTTTTCTCCCTCTGGTGATATCTTTGATTTGAAGTCTATTTTATCACATTAAAATAGATGCTTACTCTTTGCATGTTATCTTTTTTCCCATCTATTTATGTTCAGCTTATCTGAGTGTTTATATATGAAATGTCTTTTGTAGCAGTGTGTTGTTGGGCTTGTTTTTCTCTCCAGTCTGGGAAATCCTTGCCTTTTAAATGGAATGTCTCGTTCATTAACATGTGATACATACAGTTCTTGACATAGTTAGATTTAAGTCCTCTATTTTATTATTTGCTTGTTTTTTTATTATGTTTTATTCCTCTTTATTCCTCTGTGCCCCCTTTTGTATTCTTTTGGATTACTTGAATATTTTCTAGAATTCCATTTTTTAGTATCTGTCGACCTCTTTAATTATACCTTTCTTTATTATTTTTTAGGGATTACAATATACAGTCTTCATTTTCATAGACTACTTGAAGGTTGACATAATGTCACTTAATGTAAAATGTAGAAAACTTGCAGCCATATAGATCTGTTTATGCACCTCTCCTAACCAGCAATCATAGCTGTCCTATGAATGCAATACATCTAAGTATATCATAAACTCCACAAGATAATCTTGTAAATGTTGCTTTTATTCATAGTATTTTAAAGAGGGAAATAGATGTCTTCTATTTTTTAATTTTTTTTCTGAAAAGATTTTATTTCTCTTTATGGGCTGACTCAGTCTTTCTTGACAGCTCCCTTACTTGGTGGCAGCCAGGACGTTGCTCAACTCCTCTCTTTTCCTCTAGGCATGGATGTGTTCCCTTCCCCACACCCCCTTCCCCACGACGCGTGCATGCACGCACACACACACACATACTTTTCTTGATCAATTTGAAGGTCCACCTGTCCTTGGAGACCTTGAGCAACTCTATGGTATACCACTCATATGGGCAAAACCACACACCACCTGGGTCATGCCCTGCAGCCCTTGTGAGGTCACAGCATAGCACAGAGCCCTGACTGCTGCTCTACAGTGGCTACTGTGGCAGAAGGAACGTATCTTAATTTTACCTACTTATTTACCTATTTCAGATCTCTTCATTCCTTTTCAATATCTGGTTTCTACTTGAAGAACTTCCTTTAGTAGTTCTTGTAATCAGGGTCTACTTTTTGTCATTCTTGAGGGTATTAGTGCCCTGTGTGGTATTTTTTCTTTAGGCCCTTCTAAGATGTTGTTCCACTGCTATCTGTCCTTGATGGGAAGTGTCTTTTTTATAGTTGTTTCGCATTTGTGAAGTACTATTTTTCTGTCAGCTTTCAAGGGCCTGTCTTTATTTTTCTGTAGTTTGACAGTGAACTGTCTGAATGTGATTTTCTTTGTGTTTATTCTGCTTAGGGTTTGCTCAGCAGCTTAAATCTATGAATTACGTCTTTCACCAAAATCTGTAAGTTTTCAGCCATTATTTCTTTCAATGTTTTCTTTTTCTGCCATTTTTCTCTTTCTCCTATTTCTGGGATTGCACACATATTACACCTTTTGCTGTTGTTATCCACATAGATCCCTAAGGCTCTGTTTTCATCACATTCCTTTTTCCTCCTGTTTCTTTCAGATTGGGTCATTTCTACTGATCTGTCTTAATTTCACTTTTTTATTTGTTGTTTACTTTGTGAATTATTTATTCCAGATATTGTACTTTTCAGTTTTAGAATTTCCATTTATCTCTTTTTTATAGTTGCTATTTCTCTGTTAAGCCTCCTAGCTTTCCATCCACTTTGAGATATTTTCCTTTACCTTATTGAGCACATTTACACTGCTTTAAGGTTGTCTTCACCTGAGAATTCTAACATCTTGGTCATCTGGGGATTGGCTTCATTTTTTTGAGAACCCATTCTTTAAGGATCCATTTTTCTGGTCCTCTATACGTTGAAAAATCCTACACACTGAGAGTGCTCTTTTGTGGAGAGTAGATTCTGTAGTATTCCTCCAATGAGTGGATCGTTTTGTCTCAGCAAGCAGAAAACTTGGTGAGACTCACTCTGCAGACTTTCCTTGTCAATCTTGTTCTTGTGGTCTTAACTGCAGGCTGCTCCGAGATTGCCCACCACACACAACTATGGGTCAGCCCTAAGCTTGGAAGATGTGTCATGGAATCAGGGCTCCCATCTTTTTTGTCTCTTTTCCAGATGTCCAAGCCCTTTCCCACAGCTCTGTCCGCTGGTCTTTAGGCCAGAAAATCAGTGAGTTTGTTATTGGAGTCTTAGCTGCCTAATACCTTTAGATTGTACCTGTCAACATGGAAAACTCAATCTTGTACTGTTTTCTATTGCCAAGTTTCAGTTCTCCCTCAGGTGGTTGCCTATTTTTTTTTTTTTTTTTTTGCATTTTGTCCAGAGTTTACAGGTGTTATCCGCTGGAGCATTTATCTGTTGGGATTTTACTCTTACTTGTCTATGGCGACATCAAGATTGTTTATGGTTGAATGAATGGATGATGGAACAAATGACCTACTGTTTACTTTCCCTCTCTCCTTCTCTCCTTTCGTTTAGCTCGACCCCTTTGAATCCAGTGATCCTTTCTCATCCTCCAGTGTCTCCTCAAAAGGATCAGGTGAGATGATGGGTTATTTTCCCTCTGACTGTTGGCAGTGGAAGTTTCAGTCCAGTTAGTATACATTCATATCCCACACTAATGTGTCCTCAGTGTTTATGTCATTAGTCAGTGGCACCTGGAGCCTTACCTGAGACAGTTAAGCCAAAATCAGTACCCACTTGGCTGCCTACCTTCCCAAACAAGAGCTGGTATTTTTCCAGAAAGAAAGCTTGGCAGTAAGAAGTAATTCAGTGATAGTGGTGATTTTGGTTCTCTACTCATTCCTCTGCATAAATCTTTGTTTTGTACCTTTGGATTTTTTTTCCCCCTTAAAAGAAAGAGTACTGGCTTGTGCTCTGAGGGAGATAAAAATTATGGACTCCTCCTCACTATTGAAAACAGAACCTGCTTGATCTTTGCTGCCTTGCCTAGCACTTTGCTTCTTAGTTACAGAGTGTGATATTCTAGGGGTGTGTGTGTAAAGGTAAATCACCCTGTCAAAGGAGAAAGAGTGCTGTTCACAGATGATCTTCCCATATAAGTTACGTGGGAAGCATGGTGTGGAGAGCCTTCCCACATAATTCATATGGGTGGTGGGTCACAGATGACCTACCCACATAAATCATGTTGCTTGCTTCTTGCCCCTAACACCTTCCCTCCTGACCTAGCAGGGCAGCAGGCTTTGCTTCCACAGGGCCCTTGTTGCTCCTTTAGTGGCCATGAACAATGCTGGCTTAGAGCACTGAGTTCCTTGGCTCTTCCCAGCTGGCTATCACAGTGGGAAATTGTCTGGCCAAGCTGTGCATCAAGCACCAGCCAGAATCATTGGGGGTGGAGCCCTTTTTGAGGGCTCTTACATGCACTGGCCAAGAAACACGATCTTCCCTGTTCTCCTGCAATGGGCTGTTGAGTATGAAGAGGCTGCACTTGCCCTTGACCCCAGGAGATATGTGATTGACTGGCCTGTAACTGCCTCTGTTGGTGCTGCTTGCAGGTCCCTTCGGAACATTAGACCCCTTCGGAAGTGGGTCCTTCAGTAGTGCCGAGGGCTTTGCTGACTTCAGCCAGATGTCCAAGGTAAAGCCCCTCCCATGGAGGATCTGTACCTCTGCCAGTGTCTTTGTGATTTTGTCGTGGTCTTATTGTGGGCTGCCAGGCTTAACTGTTTATGCCACGTATGTATTTCCCCGCCACCTTTCAGTTTGAAATGCCTCCCCACATTGTAGTTGTGGGTAAGCAGGCAGGGTCTAGAATGCGCTTGTGGCTCTGACTGGACCCATTTCCCTCCCCCTGCTTCCGCTAGTGTCCTTTGGTGCTCAGTGGGGTCTGATGGCCATTGGCTCTCAAGCAATGATGTCATCGCTGTGACTGAACAAGCTTGAGAGGGTGTTTAGACAACTAGGACTGGGGAGGGGAGCAGGAGCCAGGCCTGGTGGGTAGCTGAGGCTGGCAGGCAGGAGGCACCCAAGAGAGTGGTCCATGTGTCTGGAGCTGTCAGTCTGATGGAACTTATGAGGGGTATGGGAGTGACGTCTGGGCTCAGAGGAGAAATACACTAGGGAAAAGTAAGCTGTTCGAGGACCAGTCACATCCACTGTTGGGCTGGATAGCATTTCTCTGGTCCCAGTTTCATAAACTGTCTGTGAGTGCAGCTCCACATTGTTATTTCTGGAGAGAACACTTGTGGGAGGTGGGTTGAGGGTGAAATCTTGGATGCAGCAACAACTCATTTACTTTTCTGAAATGGCAAATCAAGAAATAATAGAAAACCATGATCACTGTGACAAATTCCAGAAGAAACTGCTGTGAAATCAAAAGCACTGACCTTGGTGAGTGGGAAAGGTAGTGGAAGGGTCTGCTCTCTTGTACTTTTAATATCCCTTAATTTTAACTGAACGGGAGTGTTTCTCTAAGAATCGAGGAAAGCAGTATCAAGTGCCATCTGGGCTTTGAACCTTCCCACAGTTGAAGACTGGTCCTTTTAGATGCTGCCCACTTTTTCCTTCATTCCATGTCTTTATAGATGTCCAGGTTGGGGGGGAGGCAAAAGCAGAACACAGCCTCTCCCTAATTGGGGAGGTTCATAGTCAGAGAGGAATCTATGGGCCCTGAAGGCAGTGAGGGTAGGGAGCCTGGAGTATCCTTGGCCTCAGCAGCCCACAGGGAGAACTGTCCTACTGTCCTGTATCAGTCACTCCCTCCCCCCACCCCCTAGGCATCTTTTTGCTCTGTGTTCCCTCAACCCCAGGAACAAGTGATTATCTGGGTGCTGCATGCCTGTGGTTAGCAATATGTGATTGTGGTGCAGCTTCCGAGAAACATCTGAGATGCTGTTTAGGTTTTCAAAGAAGGGTGTGAACATAAACTGTCAAGGTAGCAAATCCTGCTCTGGCCAGAGGTGTAGTGTCAGTGCTTGGAGGAGAAGGAGCCTCCATCCTTGTAGGGAAAGATTGTAACCTGGACAGTGGAGACTGCATTGGCCAGAGACACTAGGGCCATCAGAGCCTCCTCCTGTGTCCATTGTTCCCACTGAGCCAACAGAAAACCAATCTCTGAGATCAGAAAACTTCAGCCACACGGTGGCAGCAATCTCCAGCGAAGGGGTTCCAGTACGTTCTTGAGTCTTCGTAAGTGGTCTTCTACCTGCTGGAGGCTGGCCCCAAGGTAGAGGGCACAACCTTGAGTCAGTGGTGGCCAGAGCTAGGACAAGGATGAGCACGTGAGCCAGGCCCCTGCTTTGAGAAGAGTCCCAGTGGAGGGCCTGCCTCTGGCAGTCTCTGAGTATCCAGTGGCCTCAGAAGAGCCGAGCACGGTGGGGCAGAACCTGGCCCACCAGTCTGACTGCAGTGTGCGCTCAAGTTGTTTTTCCCTCTTTTAACTCTTGTCTCCTTGTTCTTGGGGCTACCATCAGACTTTACACACATGACATGTGACTTCAGGGCCATCATCCCTTCCTGTCTGTAACACTGGGGGGACGGAGCTCTGGCTTGGCTGTGGAAAATGTGTCCCCTGCCTCTTTGTTTTGTTTCCACTATCCCATTAGTTCTGGTGGCATGTCACCTGTGTAGCTAAACACTGAGCCCTAACCTTACGGCTCTGTTTTTCCCTTTTGGTTCTCTTTCTGTTTTTCAAGAACAACATAGTGTATATAAATAAAAGGCTGAAGGAAATGAAAGTAAGGTGGTAAGAAGGTGTTTTTTTCTTTTGGCTTTTTTTTTTTTTTTTACATTGTCAGATTCTCTCCATCTGAAGGGGGTGGGGAGGCAGTTCCTACTGGTGTCTTTCTAAATTCCACCTGGAATTGAGTGTCCTGTGTTGACCATTCCTTTAAGGGGTACTTTGGACTCTTAATTGAGTTCCCTCCAATGCCTAAAGAGATTTTTCCGGAGCGTGTTGATCAGAAACTCTTATTATCTTGCTTTAAAAACAAATGCCCCAAAATAGATATCAGGGAACATCTGAGAATGAAAACAAGAGTTGAATTTCATGAGTTAACCCTCCCCCATGAAAAAAACCACCTGTGAAAGATATAGCTGGTCATTAGCCCATTTTTGTTGTTTTGCAGTAATTCCCAATCACATTTAGGGCTTTTTCTTAGAAGTTTAAACTTGTTTACGTTCAACAGATTGTTTACACTGTGAACCCCAAATGTGTCTCTCAGAGCTGCTTTGCACGGTGGCTTTTCTGTCTTGTCTTTTCCTCACACTTTACTTGGTTCCAGCCCAGAGATTACCTAACAGCTTCTCACTGAAACCCTTCTAAAAATAGCGACTTTCCCTGCAGCCGCAGCCCCAGTAGGAGCAAGTCCCAAAGGAGAAGACTTGGGGAGATTGAAGTCATGAAAAGTGACACAGGCCTTTGGGTATTGAAAGTGGGGAAGTTCACTGTGTGGCATGCACAGCTGGAAGGCTTTCCTGTTGGAGTGAGCCTGCTGCTCTTCAGATTTAAACAGAAGAGGGGCTGCGTAGCTCTCAGTGTTCCCAGCCAACTGGAAGGTGGCTGCAGCTCTGTATGGTGTCCCAGATCTCACAAGTTGTGAACTCTGAGCAAGCAGACCCACAAGTTACACCAGGTGTAGAGTGGCCCAGGCCTCCTCCCCAGCTGAGGGCTCGCACCAGTCAGGGCATCTGTGTGGATACTGGTGGACAGGGTACCATGTGCTCTATATCAGGGTGGTTGCCCTATCTAAGCAGAAGGGATGTGTTCAGAGGGCTCTGGCTCTCCTCTGTACCCCTTTCCCAGAGTTGTGCCTTCCCAGCACCTAAGACAAAGACTAGATTACTCATAGGGCCTCACGCTGCCTCTGCACTCAGAAAATGGATTTGATTCCTGCCCTGACGCAATTGTGGGGATCATCTGAGCTCTCAGTGCAAAGGGTGGAGGAGGAATGAAGAACCAGTGATCCCTCCCTCCTTCCCTCTCTGCCTCCTTTGCCCTCATGCCCTTCTCAATGATACCAAACAGGTTCACACCGCATGCCTCATGCAGCTCCCTCTGGGAAAGTCTCTGTGGGTGTGGATAATGGAAAGCAGCAGAAATAAAGCATTGGTAGCTGATGGGCCTTTGCAGATTCTCATAGGTGTCTATACCTGTGTCCGTAGCATAATGATCACTGTGTGATTTGTTGCCACGTTGTCTGGGTGACATTGCCTTCTTGCTGTCAGCTCTGTGAGCCAGGGCCTGCCATCATTGTTATGTCACAGATGAGCAAACTGAGGCGTGCTGTGGTTTGGAGGTGGCAGGGCTGAGACGGCCCTTTTCTCACCATGGACCTCCTGTTGCACTGCCTCCTCCCACATCCATATGTCTCTCCCAAAGATCTGAGGCTAGAGAGCCTAGAACATGGCCCCAGATCTGCTGGAGGGGAGGTGTGTGCCAGATGCTCAGGGTAGAGCCCAGGACCCCTAGTGGGTAGTGGAAAATGCTGTCCTGCCCTCACTACCACTGAGGTTGTGGCGCCTCTCTGTGCCTCAGTTTCCCTCTGAGTAAACGGGAAGTGGCAGTAGGACTTCTCCGTAATTTCTTGGGCCCAGATTTTATAAGAAAGTCCCAGAGTGTGCTTTTGTTTTCTTGTTTTGTCTTCTGTCCCCAGGTCTGCCCACTAGGGACAGAATCACATGTGCTGCTCCCAGAGCCTTCCCTCTAGCCTGCCAGCCAGACCACGGCAAGCCTCCTTTCCTTTGTTCTTTGAGAAACATGTTGGTGTTCTTACCCTATTCCCACCAATTTCTTTTTGTTTCTAATCGTGATATAGCTCCTTTACTTTTTTCATTATTTTCTGTTTTAGTAAAAGTGGTCCCTGCCCCCACCCCTATAGAAAGTCATCTTCCTTTGCGATGCCTGAGGCCCCTCACCTGTCATCCAAGTGAGCCGGCCATCTGTGACTCATCCGTCTGTCTGTCTGTTGGCGGAGGTTTGTCGTGCCTGGCACTGTGCTGGCGCTTATGGGAGAGTCGCATGTGGTCTCAGGTGCGCTGCCCATCAACTGTGCTGGCCCTCCAGACCTCCTGGTAGGTGGAAGGGGCCGGGACACTCATCAGTGCGGTGTGGTTTGGTGTGGTCACACATGCCCTGTCAGGTCTCACGGCATATCGAGTGGGAACAATTGGCCGGAAGGGGTGTCAGGGAATGCTGTGGAGGTGGAGTGACGTTCAGTCAGACTCCAAGGAAGAAAGGGGACTCTAGTTGGACTGGGTGGGTTGACTGCCTCAGCAGGAGACCCACGTGTGCAGAGACCTGGAGGTGAGGGTTCAGGGAACTATGGGAACTATGGAGTCATCAGAGTGGCATAGAAGTACCTACAGGGATGCAGTGGAATAATTAGGTTGCGGGAGGCCAAAATAAAGACCTTCTGGACCTTGAAGAGTGCTGGAGTTGACTTTGAGCATCAGGGTCACTCAGCATTACTGACTCATCTACATATCCACCCACCTGTCATCTACTTACCTACCTACCCATGAACCCATGCATCTCTGTTTTCGGTAGTGTGGCCTAATTTGGGTTTGAGAATAGGGCTGGAGGAGGTGGAGGTGGTCAAGGAGGGTCAAAGGTGATAGGAACCTGCTGGAGACAGTGTTTCCATGCTGGTGGCTGGAGGGTGTGCTCCAATCTGACTCACTGAGCGGGCACTGGGCCTGGGGGCAGCTATGGGGCATGAAGGATCTGCTGCTGTCCAACCTAGCACCTGGAGCTGCTGGTCAGAGTGGCGGTGGCCCTGGGAGAATGGGAGTTCCTCAGATAGTATGAGGGTGAACATCTCTGAACCTGAGTGGTAACCTGGGGACCCCCTAGTCAGGTAGGACCTGATCCCCAGGCAGGAAAAAAACATGTATCAGGACAGCCCTCTCACAACATGAGTCTATTGGAGTATGCCCACTCTGTTTGCTGCCTGCCCCCTTGCAGGCCAACTGACCTCTCACAGGCCAATGACCCCTGCTGTTGCAAGTGGAGGAAAGTGTGGGCTTGTGAGGTCCTGGGTCCAAGTGGGAACCATGTGGCATAGCCTGGAGGGTTGGGGCCTAGCCAGGCTCTTGTACTTGGGCGTTGACTCAGTGGATATCCACTGCCCCCATTTTAACAATGTTTTTGCCTCTCTTTCATGTCCTCTCTTACAGCCCCCAACTTCTGGCCCTTTCACCTCCTCCTTTGGAGGGGCAGGATTCTCAGAGGACCCCTTTAAAAGTAAACAGGACACTCCCGCTCTGCCTCCGAAGAAGCCTGCTCCTCCGCGGCCTAAACTGCCCAGTGGTCAGTACGCTTTCTTCTCTCGTAGCCACCTGCTCCATAGCAGGACGGCGGGAGGACGAGGGCCCCTCTGTCCACCAGCCCAGGGCAGAGCAGAGGCCACGGGGCCTGCACTTGAAGCAAGATGGGCCCTTAGGTCAGGTCCTTGCTGGCAAACAGTGCTGGAGTGGCTCTTGCCTCCACCCTGCCTGCCCTCATCTATCCCATGGGTTCTTGGCTGTGGGGCTCTAGGGAAGGCCTCAGAGGATCCAAGGCTCAGTGCCCTCCTCAAAGCACCTTGTTAAATGTGACATCAGGGCCCCTCACTCTCCTCCTCGACTGGAATTCTTTCCCAAGTTGGCTCAGGAAGGGCATGGGGTAGAGCCAGCAGCAGGGCCGACTGTGGCCACCTCCTTGATTGGTGCCTGGGTAAGGGACTTTTTAAGGCTGGGTGTGGGGGACGGAGCAGGGGCAGGGATCCCCCTTAACTGTATTTGGGCTGAGATGAGGCAAGATGATTCCACAGGTGACTCCTGCCACAGGGCTTCCTACAGATCCTTCATCTGCTGGTTATAGCCTCAGACCTCAGCCCGGTCCTCAGGAGAGCTAGGCATGTCCTGCTGAGGGTTCTGAGGACTTTTCTCATGCATGTACACACTCTTATGTGACAGCAACAGCTCCTAGGCCAGTTTATTAGAAATCTAGAGCCAAAAGCAATCGTCAGGTGGCAGAGGATTCACTGCCTTTCCTGATCTCTCCCCTACCTACTCAGTGTCTCTCCAGTGCCCTGGTCAGGATGTCTCTTTCCTTCTGTAGTCTCCAGGCAGAGTGTCCCTAACAGTCCCTCACCTGTGGGTGCCACAAAACCACATGCCCCGTCCTTCCTTTGAACAGGCCTTCTATTCTGACCTTCCAGTCTTAGATGGCCTCTCCCTTTAATCTGCTGTGGTAGGGGTAAGGTGACTCCATTTCTTACCCCATCATCTCTGAAACCTGGAGTGATCACCTGTCCAAGACAGTTCCTACCTGAGGCCTACCTGTCAGTACTGGCAACAGAGGGGGAGGTTTAAAAGGCCCCCTCTCTCCTGTCCCCTAGGTGACCAGGAAATGGGAACTATCTATACTGCCTGGTGTGACCACTGATGAACAAGTCAGGAGGGAGTATATGACCCTCAGGCCATGCGGATTTATAACAGATGTTCTGTGACCTGTGAGCAGAAACACCTGCATAGAAATAATTTCTGTGAACACACACCACAACGTCATTTACCTTAAAGGAGGAAACTCAGCAAAGGCATCCCTGCCACCTGCTGAGGTTGCATGCCCCTCAGTGGCTTCCTGGGACCCATGAATGTCACCTATGGGAGTGGCATCCACCTCTTTACTGCACTGAAAAATAGGAACAAAACAGGCTCATGCATACATGTAGACTCATATACACAGAAGCATAGAGGTCACACACCACTCACACTTTTTGTATGTGTGTGGCATACACATTGCACACACACACAGAGGCATGTGCTAGCACACAAAATTATGTGCCCAGTCTGTACATTAGTTCAAACATGGCAAACACACATGTGTACATGCACACATGCAACGTACAGTCCACAGCCTGCACACACATGCACATTCACCCCCACATGCATCTCACCCAGTGCTCACACAGATTTCATGTGCACATATGACTATATATGCAGCTTGCACACACATATCCTTGCACACACATATTCTGAAACACTGCAAACATGCTTGTGTGCATGCGCACACACGTACATGAAGGTGCACACGTGTACACACATGCAGAGCAGCACTGCATTTGTGGAACCTTGGGCAAACATACTCTACCCACAGCCAGGAGGTGTAGAACTTCACTTTCTGGTCTTCTTGGAGACTCATCGGCCCCTTCACCTCCCCCTGCACCCTTATGGGATCAGCTTGTGAACTCGCCCTCTGCTGCCAACTTCCAAGAGTCTCCCTCAGCACACCTACCTTCTTCATCCGGCTTTGCATTTAGTGCCCCATGGATTTGAGCTTTGCATTTAGTGCACCATGGATCTGGGAAGCAGAGAACCCAGGGGCAAGATGGAGTTGTCTTCAGAGAGTTTTCCACATTGGGGATGTTGGGGTTTGTATAGAGGTGGGTCAGGCTGCCCTATTGCATGTCTTTGGGCTCCTCCACCCTTGCTTGCTGTGGCCCACAAGATGCAGGCACCCCAGATATCCCCTGCCATTCATGGGCCCTGAGGAAGCACTTGCATGACTTACTTTGCTAAATCCTAGCAGGACCCGAAGTGTGACTTTTTACCAGAAAAAGAGAGGGAAGTGAGAGGTCATGTGGCTGCTCAGGGTCACATAGCAAGGGGGCAGCAGCACCAGCCTTGGCCCAGTGACCTGTCCTTTGCCCATCCTCACTTCAGGAGAGCTGGAACGAGAGTCAGGCCATGAGGGTTGGGGCACTCATGTACATGTGTGTTTAATCTGTGTGGCCATCACATCTCGGCGCTGAGGTCTCAATGCTTCACATCTGATTCTCTTATTCAGAAGCAATGACTGAACAGAAAATCCCTGCGCGGTACACAGTGCTGGGTGGTAGGTACAGATGGTGTGGCTGTGGCAGTTTGAGTATGTTTGCTGTGATTTCATACTAACTGCTAAAAACCCAATGGGAGGGCTGTAATGAGCCGCATGTGGGGGCAGCACTCGACTATGGGGGCTATGTGAAAAGGGTCTGCTGATTCACCATTCCCACCTGGGCTCATTGTGCTATAGTCAGAGGGTTCTGGGACCCTGCCAGGTCTCTGCACCTGGAGTTGGCTATACAGGACAGGCGAACTGATGTGTTCCCCTTCAGCCTTTAGATCAGCCAGCCCACTGGGACCCGGGGAGGCTGCTGTATCAGGCTGCTTTCTAGATGTTGGATTGAGGGCCCAGGTTCCCCTTCCAGCCCTGCCGCCATGCCCCTCAGGAGCTCTGGGCAAATGTCTTAATCCCACTGAGCCTCAGTTTCCCCACCTGAACCTGGGACCAGTTTTGCCTAGCCTGTTGCCACATGGGTAAAGTACTGTGGACAGTGAACACCTGTAGTGTGATATGGGGTTCCAGGGTTTGTGGCAAAGCTCAGCTTTGGTTTCTTGCATGGGACCAAATGCACATTTGGGTCTGAGCAGGCATAGTTTTTTGGGTGCTGTGACCTGTGTACTAGAGGCTGCAGTTTTCACATTTTGTTTTTGTTTTTTTCCTTTAAGTGTGATTGGCATGAGATAAGCAGATGTATTTTCATGTTGGCCCGTGTAATTAGTCACTATACCCCACCTAGCTGTTCCAACGGGTTCCCCCATATCTCATGTGGTGACAGCCTAAGGTTGGCTGTCTGCTCTCAATGCCAAATACCCAATTCCCTTTGGAGCCATGCCAGAAATTGTGCTCTCAAGGATCTCATGGGGCCTTGGCCTCGGCACTGAGCCATGAGAGGTCTTTTCTAGAAAGGTCTGTCAAGGTATTAAATAACCAACAGGTGCAGTTTGGGGTCAAGAAAATTGATTTCCTCTAGGCAGATGCAAAACAGACCCTTCTGAAACCTGTCCGTTAGAACTGGTGCTCACCCACCTCCCCCAGGTAAACAGTGGTGTCTCTTCTGCAACGGACCAGAGATGGGGATCAGAGCTCACCGCCGGAGAGTTTCTAGGTAAAAGTTGTTGATTTGCAAAGGGAGAAACAGATTTTTTTGAAGTGCAGGAAATGGTTGTGTGGGTGTCAGTGATTGGGCCTCGCACCCTGCTGCGATCTTGGGTCCTGCCCGGCCCCACCCTTGCCACTTCCTGCAAGTGCAGCCCTGCGGTGCAGTCCCTGCAGCGCCCGGGTGACACCAGCCAGGGTGCCTTTACCGCTAACCAGCCCGTCACCTTTAACCTCTCCCCAGTTTAATTGTCCTTCTATTATTGCTAATGACCTTCTCACCCCCAGAATAAAGCCAGGCACATATCCTGGATGTCTTCCTGCCCCCTTTTTCTTCCCCATGATTCTGTCAACCAACCTGGGACGATGAGATGTGTTTAGCCAGCATCCTGTTCAATTCAAATGATTCTCCAAAAAATTAAGAAAAAAGAATCGTTCGTCCCCTAGAACCCGAGTCCCCTCCCACACCTGTGTGTGGCCCCTCACACAGGGGCCTGGCTTTGGTTTCTTTGGGACAGTGTTCTGCCTGGCTGGTAGCCCACCTGTGGACCCCTTTGCTTGGCTGTCACTATGACTTTCCATGGGCAGGGTCATAGCAGGGGAAGTGCACATTTCTAATGCACCGGCTATATGTCCCTGGTTCCCCGCATGCCCTGAGATGCCAGGCGTGCCAGCCTCACCACCCTCTGCCTGCGCTGGTCCCAGCCTCTCGTTTGTCACTTAGGATCCACTTTTAAAATGACTTCTCCAGTTGAGCCGTGTGGTTAGCACCTCTGCCTTGAACTTAACTACTTTAATTCCGTTCCCACGATGATTTTAGAGCGATAACTCAGTGGGTACTTGTAAGGCTCTAGGATGGGACACGAAGTTCCCCACCTTGGAATATTCAGGGACTCGCTGGCCAGCCCAGGTCAGAGAGGTTTAGGGGAACCTCAGATAACTACCCCAGAGAAGCTCCTCCTCCTGCATACCAGGCAGAAGGCACTGCCTGTGACCCCCAACAACTGGTCCAGGCAGAGGGAAAATGTCATCCTCTCCTTGCATGTAAAACGCCTGGAGACCCAAACTTCTTTGGGGCAAATTTCTCTTCTACAAAGTTGACTGAGTTTGAAAATAGAAGCATTTGCCTTTCTTCACACACACCCACCCTTCTGCGCCCGGGAGGGCGACTGAGTGAGAGTTAGGTGACACTCTGTGACCTGTTGTTCAGGATGAGGAGACAGTCAGGCTTGGGGGGACTGGAGAAAGGAGTCAGGCTCAATCAACCAGGCTTCTGGGCGGCTGGGGGGCTTTAGGTGGGGTACAGGTTCAGAGAATCCTGTTCCTCACCCCCACGCCCCTTTCTGAGCAGGGTATGACCAGATAGCCACCTCCAGCCCCCTCCCTGGCCTCTGTGGAGGCCTCATGTACCTGCCACTAAGCTCTCCCAGACTGTTGGTCCCGCTTACAGCAAGTAAGGGTGCCCAAGTGGATGTTAACCTGTGTAGCCCCTGCTTTTCTGACAGAACAAATATGACCTGTCATCTTTCAATTCTCATGTTCAAAGCACTGAATCAGACTTCTCCCTCTGCCATATCAACTGTAAAGGAGTACGCGTATGTGGTTGGCGGGGTGGAGGAGATCCAACATACAGAGAGTAGGAGTAGGGCCCCCTTCTGCTGCAGGCTCTCCCAACTCCTGCCCCCACTACAGGAGGGAGCCCCTGGAGGGTTCTGTGTTTCTAGCACATGCCCTTATTTTCAGACCTGCCTGTGTCACACTGGCATTTTGTTACATGTGGCCACGGTGTGTGCTTGAGCAAGGGTGGGTTCTACAGACTGGCTCACCTTGTAGGGAGGAATGAAGGCTGGGCCACCCTGTCCCAGGGTAGACCTAGGGTTCCTTGACCTGGCTGCTTGGGGCCAGGTCCTCCCTATCCCCCTTAAGGCACTCATGCCCCTGGCAGGGGCATTGCCGGGGCCAGGAGCGGGGACAGGCAGCACACAGGGCTGTCCCAGCAGAGCATGTCCCAGGCACAAACTAAAGAACAAATGTGATTTTCCAGAAAGCAGAACCGTGAGACCTGCCAGTCTGTACACTGTTGTTATGAAACCTGGTGTGTAAATTCATTTGTAAGTCACTACGCCCCCTCCTTTTGTGGCCACCGTTTGTGGAAACCTCTCAAAGATTGTATTTCTCACTTCAAAGATACTTGTCTTTTGAGGATCCTTAAAATTGAAGCTGCTTCCCTTCTTTTCTCCCTCCCTTTCTGAGGCGGGATGACCCTAAGTCCATTGGTCTCATCTCCCAGCACGACCACCACAGCCTTTGACCACGTTGGATGTCTCAGAGGATGAAAGATGCAGTTTAGTTGTGGGGTGCCTGAGGATCCTAGTAAATATTTGTTCAGCTTTTATCAAAAATTAGAACCAAACCTCATCCTGTTCCCTTCAATGCATTAAGCAGATTTTCTTTAAATTTGGTAAATATTTTTAGTGGAAAATCTCAACGCTGTGATGGTGGGACCTCAGATTTTATCTGCGGGCTATGCTGCTCTGTGTAGCTTTGATCTGTGGGTTTGCCTTCTCTTCAGGTGCATCAGCGGGCTGTGTCTGAAGGGTCCCCTCCTGCAGCCAGGTTGTGGTCCCATTTGAGAACTTGGCTTCCCGAGCTCACCTCCACGGCCACTTCAGATGGGAGCTGGGGACATGGGCAGGTTTTGATGAAAAGAGACATTTTCAGTAAAAAGTTCCCTGGTGGTTATGAATTTGAGGATATGCTCAGGACAGCCCGTTGTCTCCTTTCTCCCCATTCCCCCCAGTGAAAATGTGCTGGGGTTGGGGTGGGAAGGGAGGAGCCGGGCCAATGAAGAGGTCCTCCACTAGTCACTGTCCTCCTGGGCAGGGTATCTCCAGGAGCCAGGCAGTCTTGTGGGATGAGTGACAGTCATGTGTGAATGCCCCCGTTGTGTAGGATGAGTGACAGTTGTGTGAGAATTCTGTTATGTGAAGATCCTGTGTTGTGTGGGATGCGACAGTTAATGTGGACCTCTCGTGTTGGGGATAATGGAAGTTGTGTGAAGATCCAGTGTTGTGTGGGATAAGCAACGATTGTGTGAATGTTCCTTGTTGGGATAACAGCAGTCGTGTGAACGCCCCATGTTGTGTGGGGTAATGAGTAAGGTGGGGCAGCTGTCCTGACCACAAACCTTTGTTTTTTATTTTTTTGTTTTGTTTCTTGTCTTTGTATTTATCGCTCATCTGGAGAACTGTATCTTCAGCTGCAGCCCTGAATTTCATAAATAGAACCTAGCAAGATTCTGCTTGGGATGAACACACTCGCACTCAGGTGTACATTTTGTATTTTTATGAATCATAGTTACTGAGACCCTATGACACCCAAACCTCTTGCTCTCCCCCAAAGTAAAGAATTTCAAGCCAGAGAATCGATCCTCTTCAGAACTGCAGTGTGCATATTTTAAAGTTTGGGGTGTCCCTATCCTATTGTTCCTCTGAGACAAGCTCTTGGGGTCCCCTCCAGGCTGAGGGTTTCCTGAAAAGCATGTTGGGAAAGAGGCAGAATGTGGAGATATGCGAACCAGGCTTCAGAGCACACGCCTGCTCCTGATCTGCTCCCTATCCCTGGGGCACGCGCAGCCTTGAAAAGTTAAGAAATAGCAAAATTAAAGAAATTTCTGTCAGGGTGGAGCTGGCCACTGAGTTTTTTTTTTAACAGCACAACTGTGGTAAACCATGGGGCTCACGTTGTTTTTGCTAAGGTCGGTCCTGTGTGTGGTTTCGGTGCGCCACTTGGGTAACTGTTGAAACTGCTGTGGTTTGAAATAAGCGCTCTTTTGCCTTTTCTTCAATCTTGCATTCCTCTCCCCAATAATGTAGGCTCCCCCTTGATTTGTAGAAGCTTAGTTAGGGGGGGAATTCTTGAGCCGCCCCCAGATCTCAGGGGTACTAATTTGTTTGTCTCAGCCACCGCTTTCCATATTGCAGGTTGGGTGGTGGCACAGATATCTAGGAATGGTGATGCCCAACATGGCCAGGTATGGCACTGGTCAAATGTTACACCAAGTCTTTATTTTTATCGTTTTTTGTTTGCTACTCTCACACTTTTCATTTAAGTGCTTTCCTTCCTGGAAGGACTTTGAGTCTTGAAAAGGAAAAGACTGCAGTGAGTTTGCCTGGGGGCACAGAGTAGGCAGATTAGAGTTTACTTTGTCATGTTATAAGATAAACTATGTCTCCAGAAATCAGAAAAGCGACTAAGGAGTTAGCAGAAGTGGTTACATAAAAGCAGGAACTAGACCCAGAATGTTTCTAAAATACAGCTGCTCTAAAAATAAAGGGGAGCACTCTTCGCCTGGTGTGTGGGTGCCACAGCTCTGCAGAAAGCCTGATCTGAGCACAGTCTTGGGCCAAAGCCGGATCGGTTTCGTGCTTGGCGGCTCCTGTTTTAAACTATATGGCGAAGGGATGGAAACACACAACCGAGAAAAACCGTTTGTTTTTTTTTTTTTTCTTTCCTCTCTGAAAACAAGAGCAGTTATGTGCCCTGGTTTCATATTAACATCGTCATGATTTCTAAATAACAACGGTTTCTGCAGCAGGGCAAAGCCAGGCACGGGGCAGCTCATGTGAACAGGCTTTCATCTCCCGGAGCATCTCATTGCTCATCAGAAACCTCAGCCTGAGATTCTAGTGGGCTGGATGCTTCACCTCCCCCCAAACAATTGTTTAAAAACCCTAAACCAGGAGAGGAAGGTTTTAATTAAAAAGAAGCAAGCATGGATCTTTCGAGCACTCTGTAACACAGTGCTGGCTCTCAGGGGCCTGGCTGGTCAGCTGCTGGCCCCCACCTCCCATTCCTGCTCAGATGCTTGGACACCTGCCCTGGGAAGCAGGTCCCACAAGGAGTGCACTACATTCAAGAAAAAGTTAAAAGAGTTTCTGGAGATAAGCTGATAGTCCCAGGACTCAGTGCCAGAACCAGGGGTGTGCTGTGTCCTAGGACTATCAGCTTGTCTCCAGAAACTCTAACTTTTTCTTGAATGTAGAGTTTTACTATTTGATCCCATGTAATTTTTGTTTTTGAGGGAATACTATTACCGTAAGAGCACATTAATGAATAGAGCACTTTCTCGCAAAGGAGGGAAACCAGATGTTTTTAATCCCTCCTAGCTGCCCCAGAAGGCTTCCCCCAAAGAGCCTCAGGTCCCTGGGTGGCACCATGATGACTGGGGCTGGGCACTCTGGATGCCAAAGCCAGCACTGAGTGGGTGCAAACCCTTGCTGCCCAGGAGCACCACTGTGTATACTGAGTTGGACCCCTTTCACTTCATCCCCACTTCACAGATAAGAAACTGAGGCTGACTGGGCTAAGATGCTCACCCTTGTCAGAACTAAAAGTGGCAGAGGCTGCTGTAGCCCCAGAACCTTAGGGACATCTCGGGACCTTCAGAAATGTACCCCAGAAGTGGTGTCAGAGAGGATGGTTTTAGAACTGAGTTTGGTGATGTTGGGGGAGTCTCTTTGGATGGCAGGCATGGCAGAGGCTGACTGGTGGGGAAGGAAAGCAGGTGTCTGGGAGCTCGATGCAGCTGGAGGTAAGACAGGAAAAGCTGACCTGAAAACTGGCACATTCCAGAGGTTCATCCAGTGAGGCCTGGAGCTGAACCGGAGAGGCCTCTGGTTTCTAGTGGTATATTCTCCCACACTGGCAGACTTTTTTAGGAGAAGCCAGCCTCTGAGGGCCACACCTCCAACTACTCTCACTCAGGCTACAATTCCTCCGACCTGAAACCCCTCCTTCACGTCCCTGTCTTGCTAGCCCTAGAAGCATTCTCAACAAGAGCCCAGCAAAGCCCAGCCTGCCTCTTGGAGCCACCAGCTCCAAAGGGCTTCCGCTAGAGCGGAAGCTGGGGATGAATGTAAACCCCCAGGACTGCAAAGTGGGGTTTGCCTGGTACGCGGCCTCTAGACCCTCACATTAGAGTGTCTAACTCCACAGCATGGTGAAACTAAACCTTTTCATTGCAAATAACTACCACTCCATTATTTTTGTTACTTAATGGTATATTTTTCTGCTTAGCCATGAATTTTTTTTTTTCCTTTTACTCAGTGTGTCAGTAAATATCGCCATCTTAAAACAAGTCACTTCAAAACATGCCTGCATGGGACATTTTAAAGATGACAATAACTTTTAGCTGCAGTGGGAATGGAGGGGAAGGACTAATCCAGTGGTTGGTTGGTTTGTTTTTTGTTCTGTCTTTGGGATGAGTGAGAGTGAAACCAAGGTCCATCCTGGCTCTCCAAGGCCACGCCATGAACTTACTCCAGCTCTTTCCGAAGAGGGAAAGGGTTGCTCAGAGAGCGTGAGCTGGGACCTCCTCTGTCAGGACTCTGTTCTGTCCATGGTCAGTAACCTGTATTTCTCTCTCTCTCTCTCTCTCTCTCTCTCTTTTTCTCCTCAACTTTCCAGGTAAAAGTACACCCGTAAACCAGCTTGGTTCCACAGACTTTCCCGAGCCCCCCGATCCATTCCAGCCACGAGGGGCTGACAGCAGTGACCCGTTTCAAAATAACAAGGGGTTTGGGGACCCGTTTAGTGGAAAAGATCCATTTGCTCCCTCCTCTTCAGCTAAACCTTCTAAAGCCTCTTCCTTGGGCTTTGCAGACTTCACCTCTGTAAGTTGAGTCTCCCTCTCCTTGCCATCCCACACCCCCCAACTCTGCTTGCAGCTTCGTTGGGGTCACTCCCTCCTGGCTTCTGTCTCCTGGTACACCTCATGCTATGTGTTATTTATTCTGTATTGCTTCTTTCTGTAAGAAAAACCGTTTCTCAATAAAAGAAAGAGCTATGGTTTGGATACTCTATGGTAAGGCCCCATTTTCTTCTAGCAGGCTGGCCGGCCGGCCCTGTTTATGTCCTTCAGGGTAGACTCGGCATTATTTCTGTTGCTTGGAGGCCCTTGTGCACATTGATTTTTGGACTGAGCTGTCAGATGCTTCTGAATTTTGGAAACAAGATTGTGAAAGTTAGGTTAGGGTTTCACGGTCCCTGAAAAGATCTTCATTCAAGAGTTATGACTCCCTGGCCCCCCGCCCCCACACATTGTGTGCAAGTGCAAATGGAAGGAGCCAGGCAGGTGCACATACTGAGTTTTTAGTAACTGTTAAGTACTAGCCACAATGAAAAGAGAAATCCAACCTAGAACAACCACTCTGAAGTTCTTCCTTTTGCCAAAGGAGAACCCTCAAAAAACTATTTAGCAAAGTTAAATGCCTTTTCAGGAGCAAATTTTGACAGCCTGACTTTGTTTCTCAGTGTGACAAAACATTCTAAAGTCCTGTTGCTTTTTTTTGCGCGCCCTGGTGGTACACAAAAATCACAGTCTTGGGGAACTTCACATGTGCTGTGGTGTTATGTGCCTGTTTGTAGCAAGGGTTTCTTCATTTACACTCACAGAGTACTTTGTTTCCCCATTAGATGTCAGCTGCATTATTTATAGTGCTTCCAGTAGTACAATATCATCCTCACACAAGCTGTGCCACATCAGTGCCCAGGGAATGCCTGTTTAGTTTCCATCCAGGTTGGGCACAGCCGTCCTGTGCTTACTGAAACTTAGCGAGTTGCTGGGACCCATTCCTGGCCCTTGGTGACCTGTAAATATTTTATGACTGCAGTTAGCTGAGTTCTGCTGATAGCCAGTGTTGATAGCACTGTGAATGTGTATACAAGTGGCAATGTTGCTAATAAAAACCAGAAATGAAACCCCTTTATCTACAGTTTCCCCACCTTTACTTGGTGGTGGAACAAAAAGTATTAAATGCTCGGGGGCTGGGAGGGATAGAGCTATTCATGCAGGACTAGGGCGCTGTGTTTTGGGTAGGGAAGGGGGAGGGGGTGAGTGGATTTGAACAGCAATTTGGAGAAACTGTTGTCTCTCTGGAGTACACAGTTCTACTCCCTGTGGTCCCTCTTCCTCTGGCCAGCTGCTGCTTTTTGAAAAGCATTTTCTATTTGAAAAGTACCCAAGGTTTCAAGTTATCCTTTGGTCAAGGATTTCTGGTTGTCCCAGAACAGTTGTTAACTTTCGATCTTAAAATACCGCCAGTGTTTAAACACTTGCCCAGTTTTTCCAGAGAAAGTCCCGTTGGTGAGCTTCAGCCCATTCAGATGGCATGGGGTGCTGCAGAGGCAGGTGCCTCACAGGTTGGGCTGTACCGCCTCTGTCTCCATCCAAAAAAATGTGCAAAGCCATTCTGCCTCTGGGCACTCAGAACATCTCTGATTTCACAGTATCCGGGGACTCAGCCCAGTGCCTTATGGGTTCACCAGACCTTGAAGATCTGTGACTCCTCTAAAAAAGGCCAAAGTTGGCCCTTCCAGTTGTGTATCTTAGCCTCCCAGGTTCCCCTGAGAGGTCTCCCACGGCCTGACACTGTGCCTCTTGGACCTTGAGACATATGTTACCAGTGTAATAGCAGCTTGGTACCCCTGGAGCCCTTTGATCTTCAAGCCCCAAATTCCTACCAGTGGCTTATTTGTGTCGTAGCTGTTCACAGGCAACCTCTTCTCTGGCATTTCTTTCAAAACAGCCCTTTCTTTCTCGGGCACATGTGTTTATTAGAAAGTAGCATTTTGCATTGTCGGACAAGCTGGATGCAATGTCACTATGAGAACGAGTGAGCTCCTGGAAGCAGCTAGATGTAACCCCACATATGGCCCAGTGTTGGGCTTGCGTGTCAACCCCTGAGGAAAGGCACCCTTGGGGCTGAGGAGACAGTCTGTGTGCAGAGCCATTGTACGGCGGATTTCTGCTGGGAGGTCACCGGAATAAAGTTGCTTAGTGTCCTGTGATGCTTCAGGTCAGAGGAGCAGAGGGTGACCCTATACAGAGGTCTCCACTGTCCCTAGAAGGATTCCTGCTAATTCGAGACAAAAGGGAGCACAGAACCTCTTCTCCAGTTCTCTCTCAGAACCACAGCCCCCAGTGCTGCTCAAGCTCACACCAACCACATGCTCCACGCATGTCTGGATCCATAAGCTGGCTAGCTTGAACTGTGCACCCTGAAAGCGTCTGGAACATTCCATCAGCACTGTCACTGAAAACACAGACCCTTTGAGTAGAGGTGTGCAGTGATGCCCAGAGACACATGAGCTGAGGGGGCAGTGGCCTGTAGGTCTCAGGCTGTTCTTGACCCTTCAGGCCCTGCTTCCAGCCTTCGGTCTGGATCACCTGTCACTCCTTGTCAGCCCCCACTGCCCCTCCTCTGGGTGGATGCAGGATGAGGGCCCCTTCATCCAAGCTGTCCCCTCCTGCTGCTGTCGTTGGCTCATGGACTCATTTCCACCAGCACTTGTTGTTTTTTCCTTGTTTTTCTCCTGATGAGGTGTTGGAAAATTCCCCAAAGAGTACGTGGGTGGGGGTGGGGGGTAGAGGGTTATCTGTGATCTGTGCTGGAAACATGGGGGTGGGGCTGGCTTTCAGAGAGTCCGACATGGAGGCTCCTGCACACTCTTCTGTACATTTTCTTTAAGAAATGTGGATTCCTGAGTCCTTTCCTCCTGGAGACACTCTTCATGATGCCCCCTGTACCCTCCCCTGCTCGCACCTGTCCTAGGACTCCCCAGGCCAGGCTGAGGGAGGCCCCCTGGTTAACCCACCATCCCCAGGCTATGTTTGGCTTCAAACCAAGTTCCCTCCTCTCTCCCCCTCCCCTGACACAGCCCCCCACCCTCTGGCCCTCTCATCCCATGTTGGCTCACCCCACACCCCAATTGGGCCAAGCAGAGAACCAGCAGATTGGGAAACATTTAGAAACTGCCCATCACCCCCGTTAGCTTGCCCAGGGAACCCCTTAGGGAAATCTCAGCTCCTTCTTGGGGCCCATAAGCCTCTTGAGGTCGACCTCTCCCACCTAAGTCTGTTCTGGTAGTGCCAAGGTTGGGCACTTGGCCCCTACCCATTCCCTGCACACGGGATGGTGCACTGAACCCCCGCTGCCGAACCTATAGCTGGCAGCCACCCCCTGGCTCGAGGGTCAGAGCAGGGACCCTGGGGCCCTGGCTCTGCAGTCCTCCCCCAAGGACACTGCCACAGTGCTCCTCTCCTAGGTGGGCCCTTGGGCCTATGAAGAAGTCGCTGTGAATTTCTGATGCTTCTGGTGGGGTCTCTTGAGGGGCTCCATCAGATTGGGTTGTCTGTCTGCTCCCAAGAGTACCTGGGGAAGGGCCCACCTCTTTATCTTTGGTGTTACCCAACCTCAGCAGAGAGCTGGCACTTAGAGGGAACCCTTGCGGGGGAGAGGTGTGGGTGTCAATGGGGGTGGAGACCCACGTCAGGGGCACAAGTGTGTAAGATCTGCTTCCCCTTCCCAAAAGCTAGTAGGGTACTGTACGTGATTAGAAATTGCCCGTCTCAGGGTCAGAATGGTTTTCTCCCTTGCTTTAAAAAGATTTCTTTTATAAATCAACCATTTCAGAAAAGGTCCCCAGGAATTAAAAAAATTTGTATCAAACAACTCTGGATGGAATGCAACGCAGTATCGGGGCTGCCTAAATATGGTCCCTAACAGGTCTCAGGCTCCCGCAGCGTGGCTGGGGTGGCGGTGCCCGTTTCAAGCCCACATCCTCTTTGCATGTCTGACTGGGGGTCCCTAGCACATGTGAAACTCAGAGCCTTGTTCGTGGGAGTCTGGTTCAGTGCCCCCTGCCCCCCTGCATCAGCAGCCTCTCAGGAGACCCCTGAGTTTGTTGCTCTAGCCCCTAGGAAGGGGCTGACCTGCTTCCAGCTGCTTTCAAAGATGCTGTCTCCCTCACTCCCCATGGAGCCTCGAAGTTGCTGCATAGCATTGCCTGTGTGGGTTCCCTGAGGCCCCCAGCTGCCAGTTAAGGTCAGATTCACACCACTTCCCCATGTATGGTGAACCCCTTCCTGATCTGGGATCAAAGTCAGGGCATGCATGTCCCCTCCCAAGACAGGGGCTTCTGCCTCTCCCGGCTTTCACATGGACATGGGCCCCGCCCCTCCATGCACCCCATCAGTGCGTGTCTCTGAGGCCACCCACGCCACAGGCCCGCTCCTTGTCCCACCTCCACCAGCCAGCAGGTTGCCGCTGCGGGCGTGTAACCCACCTCCTTTCTTCCTTTGCAGTTTGGCAATGAGGAGCAGCAGCTGGCTTGGGCCAAGCGGGAGAGTGAGAAGGCGGAGCAGGAGAGGCTGGCACGGCTGCGGCGGCAGGAGCAGGAAGATCTGGAGCTGGCCATCGCACTCAGCAAAGCTGACATGCCTGCTGCCTAGGCTGGGGCTCGTGCACGGGCCGTGGGTGAGAGGGAGGTGTGCACACGGAGAAACTCGGATGTCTACATGTACACCGCCCACTCAGCGCGGGCCCTTTCCACCTTGTGACAGGTCACGGTCACTGTCTGGTTAAGGACTCGCTGGCCGGAGGGCCGTTCGCTCCGGA